GCGGAGGCGATTCCGGTCCAGCCGCAGCTCAATCAGGGAGCGCAAGTTGCCCAGAAGCCCCGAATCCACAGACATGAGCTGGTTTGAGTAGAGCAGCAGTGTCTCAAGCTTAACCTGCGCCCCAAGCAATCCTTGGGGCAGGTGGGTCAGGTTGTTTCCCGATAAATCCAACGCCTTCAGCTCTCCCAGGCTCGTGAAAAGGTTAGCAGGAAGAAAAGAGAGCTGATTCTGGTTCAAACAGAGCTCCTGCAGGTTAAGCAGTTTCTGAAACAAGTTTTGGTCAAGGTCCCTTAGTGCATTGTGGTCTAAGAACAACTGTTCCAAGAGCACCATCTTGTCCAGGAGCGCACTTGGAAGATGAGAGATTCTGGTGCGCGTCAACCTAAGGGTTTTTAGTTTTATCAGGTCATTGAAGGTGCCGGGTTCGATGGCGGAAATGTGGCTGTCTGAGAGCATCAGGCGCTGCAAGACCGTCATGCCACTGAAGCTGAGGTTCCCCAATACGCCCTGCTCCATTCGGAAGAGCAGAATGTGTGTGAGGTTCTTGGGCAGACCCAGTGAGGCAATGCGAGCCACGCTGCCGCCCGAGCACTGAGCAGCATCGCGAAACACACACCTGCACGTTTTAGGGCAGGGGATGGGCTGGACGTGCACGAGTGCGAGCACCGCGCACAACAGGGCGCTCCTTAGCATGTCTGAAAGGCAATGATACAAGGCTCAGAGCCGATCTTGGAGTCTGGCACCTGCTACAAGCACAGCTAACTTTGGCCAGCTTTCTCACTGCCTGGGAATGTTGATCAGATACAACCAAGTCTCCCTCCATTCTTACAAGGGCCGATTAAAAAATAAATTACCTTTCTATTCAGTCTAAGTGGGTGCTGGAGAGTCTAGCTTAGGCTTGCTGGGTACGCATTCTTACCTACTGAGCCATCTCACCCAGTTCTCAGTTTAGAGCACTGAAATCTGGGCACCTTCAAGCTACAGAAAGAAAAACCTTAAAATCTTTAGAGAATGAATTAAGAGTCTCACGGTCATGTTCAGTCTGCAGGGGAACTGGCTGTGCTACTGATTCTACTGACTTAAGCAGGGCTGCCTCTACCCAACAGCCAGGAAGGGAACATCAAGGTCCACTCGATTCATTTTCTTAGTATTTTTAGAAAGTGCCAACAGCACATTACACCCTCCTTTAATCTCCAGGCTCCGTGGAACAGATAATGCCCGTGGCTTTGTGCCATGCTTCTCTGCACTTTGCACTGTTAACAGTAGGCATAAGGAGGGCAGTAGGCTGAGTGTTTCGTTTCAGTGCACATGGAGTTAAGTAATTTAAGGGTCACATAGAATTTGAAGGTAGACTTTCTGACTCACATATTTAATTAAATAATGAGCTGTTTGCTTCTAAGCCAAGCTGCTTAATAAAAACGACTCTGGGCATTGAATTATCTGGAAAACACAGCAATACTAGTTTACTCAATATTTCCCAAGCAAAAGTTTGTAACTATTTCTTGCACCAGATCTCCTCTTGTCCCCCGCCCCCAATTATATATACTAACTTAAGAATATTTGACCTTACCTGAATCGGTTCTGCAGCCTGAACTGACTGAAATGCTTACAGCTGTGCTGGTGACTCGGCACTTCACAGAGGAAGAGGGAGTATTCTTGCATCCTGAGGATAAAGACCTTACCAGAAAAAAAGTCAAGGAAAAGACTATCTCAAGAGGGCATATTCTAGGTTTTAATAAGAACTTTCAGACTGTGAAAGGCCATATTAGAGTCCTACTGTCAAAGCTCAATGTTAGGTGAAGTTTTTCCATAAATGGCAAGCTAAGACTAATAAAGTTTGGGGATGTATGGATCATTGCAGCAGTATAGTGATGGACTACTTATGAATCTAATAAAGCTGGCCACACTAGTTAGGTTATAGAGGCTGGACAGTGGTGGCACACACCTTTAATCCCAGGACTCTAGAGACAGATGAATCTGAGTTCAAGGTCACCTGGGCTACATGAGAGTGAATCAGTCTAAAAGAGAAATAGCTCACACTTTTAATCCCAGCACTAGAGAGTATATAAAGAGCTCAATGCAGTCTCTGAGCATATTCTGAGGCTTGGAGAGCAGTGCAGTTTGGAGATGCAATCTGAGGACAGGATCGCCCCTTTGGCCTGAACATTGGTAGAGGTGAGAACTCTCTAGTGGCTGGCTGCTTTGCTTTCCTGATCTTCAGCTTGAACCCTGATATCTGATTCTGGGTTTTTATTGTTACACAGCAGTCACATCAATAAACGGGCATTACACATACATACATATGCATGTTCCATTGCACCAATTCTCATCCCCCTTTTAAGAAATTATAATTACTTGGTATGTATGATTATGTGGCTGTCAGAAAACTTAGGCAGTCCATTCTTGACTTCCACCACATAGGTTCCAAGGATTGAATGAACTCATGTCATCAGACTTGGAGGCACCTTTACTTGCTGAGGCATCTCCTTTGCCCAATATTTTTATTTTTTAAATAAGGCTAAAGAATTCTTACCCCCTACCCCTTAATGCCTAGTTTAGCCACTGTCAAACATGCTCATTAATGGCATTGTTCAAGAGTTCATGCTCAGTGTAATGTAATGTCAAACTGCCCACCTAAGTGGTTGTACTGTAAACTCCTGAGCATTCTTTGAAAACTCTTGCTTGGCATTCTATGAAATCTTTCCATGGCACAACTTAGGCCCAGGCTGAAGAGAACAAAATCACCCCACCAACCTACCGTCTCAAATGGTTTTGACTTTTGCATTTCTGTTTAATGACTGACAGACATTATTCTTACAATGAAGGGCCACCTGTGTTTCAGTTTTTGAGAAAATTGGGTTTCCCTTTTCACATGTCTGTTTTTATTTTCCTCCTTTAGACAGTCTTGCTATGTAGCTCAGGCTAGCTTCAAATTTATGATCTTCTGGCCTTTGTGTCCTGAATTTTGGGATCACAGACAATATACCTTGATGCCTAGCTGTGTTCAGTTTTGAATATGCAACTATAATGTAGACATCCTTAATACATTCTCCATTGTCAAGTCATAGGTGTAATTAGGTAAATCCTTCCAAGGCAGACACCTCCCAGCAATTCCTTTAAATGCTCCAATACTCTTCCTTAGCACTCAGACCTCTAGGGGACAAGCAGTTTCCTTTGTATGTACCTAACTGGCAGAGTTACTTGAAATGTGCTTGTTCAAGATGATTCTTCAACTGCTTTAAGAACAAAGATCCAGGGTTTAGGGAGACAGCTTAGTTGGCAAAATGCTTGCCTTGCAAGCATGAAGACTCATTTAAACTGGAGAAGCCAGGAACGGTAGACCGGGATCCCTGAGGCAAGGCAGCCAGCCAGCCAGCCATATATTGGTAAGCTTTCGGGGACTTACCTCAAGACACCCAACATGCATACACCACCTGAGATTACAGGAGGGAGGAGTGGTGAAATGCTTCTTACAGTACTTAACAAGTTGGGAATGAGCCCCCTTCAATGTATGCAAGCACACACCCTACTTTCCTTTTTTCTGGAGATTGAGCCCAGGGCTTTTCCCAAGTGTCATCAAGGACTTTCTCAACTGGAACACATAGTCTAGTCTGGGCCAAAAGTAATGCCTCTTAAGGTCCTATGAGCTCCTCTGGTTCTCGAGAAGCAACTCTAGAGCCCCAAACTGCCATCCTACTCAAAGCTTGCAGTTAAACCCTTCCTAAAACTAGCCCATCATACTAAATAGCAAAGCTGCCTTCCTCTCCACTACCCACTCAGGCAAAAAAAGCCAACATAGTTGCTTTGCCGGAATCTATCTAGTCCCCCTATCCCTTTCTTTCCTCGAGGGTGCCTTTGTGTGCCCAAGGCACAATACACTGATACTGGCTGTTGACTGATGCAACTACTAACAGGTTATGTCTCTAGCATTTTCCAGCCTTTCCCTCCCATCCCTTGACATTTACCAGGTGGCTGTATGTTATGTGTAAGTGCTGGGACTTCCTTCCCCTAAGGCAGTTACAGGCCCAAGGGTCATATGGAAACACTATACTGTAATTCCAAGTCAGGGATGGGGGAAAAAAAAGGAAACTAATCAGTCCTGAGAGCTGTGTTTACATTTACTTACTAAATAAATAAATAAGTAAATAAAACAAGTGTGTAAAGACCCAGGAAAAATTTAATTCATTAAAATTTTTATTTTGAATAGCTTCAATCAAAAAGATTTCATAAAGTTATTTACAATGCTGAATGTACAATTATGAATATCTACCTTTTTGACAACAGGGTACCATTCTTGAGCAGCAATACAATTTAAAAAATATAAAGATGTATCATTTCTGATATATAAAGTTACTTAAAAAAATCCACAGTCTTAGGGAATTCACAAATCATAACAGGAAGTAATGTTTATTAATTTCATGTGCACATAATTACCAAATCGTAATACATTAAAAATACATGTAAATGCCCAGACTGTACAAAAGTTAATACCCTATCTTGTTAAAAGTTCCCAGTAACCTCCCACCATAAATATAGAAAACCCCTTTCTTAGACACATCAAAACTGCATGCATGAATTAGATGTTCTCTAAAGCCTGAAGCTGCTCCTTGCTGTGTATGAGCTTTTGCTGATTGGAACAGGGTTTATAGATGTGTGTTATATATATATATGACACATTATTTACCATGCCTTTGAAACTGTAGTATTTCATCAACATGGAAGACAAAATAAATAGTGAGGGAAAAAAAAAAAAAACCAGTAACGGGTTTACTTAAATGCAAGTGCAATTTAGAAAGCTTTTGAATTTCAGGCTTGTAAAACTTAGAAAAGTATTGGTTTGTTGTTGGTTTCGCCGCTCTCACCCAAGCACTATTTGCAGCATTGCTTTACAGCAGTTGGTGCTAGAAGATAGAAAACAGTTACCATTATTTATTTATATTCAAGGGAGGAAAACAACTTTAAACAACCCTGAGGGAGACCCATGTTAAAAAATCTTATTTATTTAAAAAGTTAAAAAGTTACATATCATTATTTAACAATTACTTTCCCAGACATTTCTGTCCTTTAAGTATGTGCATAAATAAAATTTAAATCAGCAATATTATCAATCTTAATACATCAAAATAATATATGTACAGATTTTAAAATTTAGGTCTGTATATACTCAAATAATTTAATGTAAAATTCAGAACCCAAATCTCTATATGACGGTGACCTACAGAAGAGTCCATCTACCTACCGCACTAAGCAGGACCCATGTCTGGACTGACAGACATTCCTCAAACATCCTCCTCACTGGAATAACCTACCCTGTCTATGTTGAAATCTAACTTCTACAAATGCTTTCTCTCACCTACATAAAACCTTGTTCCTTTGCAAACAATATGGACAGATGAGATATAAACCCTATCAACCCTAAATATTAAAAGGGGTATGTATCAAAATAGCATTTTATGATCATTCTCTTGAGGATGTTAAATACAAATGATATTGGGTCTAAGCTGCAGTTAGCAATTAGTTATATGCTTCAGCATTTAAATCAAAGAATAAGACTTAACAATTCAGAAAAATCACTAAAGAATAACATGAGCATTATTTGAAATGAACGTGGACTGTATAAAACAACAGTAAGTAACTATAGAAAATAGTGCTAATTCACAGCTCAAGAGGTCTAAGATGCATAGCTTCATAGAATCATTCATGGGACAATTGTTCTTATCTAACATATAGTAATATCATACATTTTGGAGAAATTCGATTATGTATTTTGTAGGAATCACTAGTGGCAATAGCAGTAACAGTGATCCTGAGAATAATTTACATTTTTTTTTTTTTTACAATTATCAAACATTATTCAGGTCTCTGCAACATAAAAAGTAAGAAAAAATGGTTCTACAAATCTGGGTAACATTTGGTAAACTTAGTGGGATAGTAATGATCAACTAGGCGTGGAAAGCATACACATGTGGTTAATTAAGAAAACACAGAATAAATGTCACTAATTTAGGGTCCATTTTTATAGCAATGCCAGCTTCCCAAGTTTATCATAACTGCAGGCACTGCCAAACTGCCAGATCCTATCTAGGAAGGCAGAGTGGAAGTGTTACTTAAGAAATGAACATTAATCAGATAAAACACAAGTGTGAAAAATGCTTTCTACATTTCTTTTGGCTCAATAAATGTATTTTCTCAAGCTCACTTGTAACAAAACAGCTATGTGCTGACCTCTAGTGCCACCTAATGGCATAAAACAAACTCTACTCAAGTTCACATTGCTTTGTAAAAGCCAAACTCAATATTCACTATTCTTTTAAGCCTCATTATCCAAAGGAAAGACATATACCAAGGTTAAGATATAACTCAAAACAAAACAAAACCACCAACAACAAAAAACCCAAAAACAAAACAGTATTTTCCTATTCCTTTAGGTTAAAAAAAAAAAAGATAATGAAAGAGCATTTAAAATGATATAAATCCTCAAAGAAAAACAAACAGGTTTGAAGGGTTATAAGATCTACCAACAAGAGAAATAATCATCGCTTTCTGCATGTATGTACTTTGGACAGGGCTTTACTATCTACTCTAGGCTATCCTTGAACTAAGAACAATCATCCTGCCTCAGCCTCCTGTGCAAGGAGTACAGGCCTGCAACACTACCTGGCTCAGAAATAAAACTTTTCTAATGAAAAATTTCTTCATTTAATGAAGCAAACCAGACTGCTGACGTCAGACACAGTATGAGACCCACAAACATTATGAAAGACATCAAGACAGCAGTGAAGCACCTTGCTGGCTAGAAAGTGACACCCAGGTAGTCTACACAGAGAATAGAAAACCAGAAATGGAAATTACCTGAGTTGCTCTATCAACAATAACATACAAACTTACTCCTATCTCCAGGTTTAAAAAAAAAAAACAAAACAAAAACAAACAAACAAAAAACCTGGTGTATATTTAACACAGAATTCTTTGGGAGAAACATTGGAATCAAAACAGACTTTAAACCTATTTTCACCAAAGGCTAATCATAATTAACAACCATATTTTAACTATCCCAATTTTAGGGCCTATATATAAAAGGAACTTGCTAATAAAGGGTTGTGAAAATTAAAGAGGCAAACTAGTGTCGAAAATCTAAAAACCCCAACACAGTTCTCTCACACCCAATATATCACATTTAGGTTACTGCATGAAGATCTAGCCAGATTGATAGTTAATAACTGTGAGGCAAATGCCATTTTACTGGTTTTGTTTTTTAATCAACTACTGTACTATGTATGAGAGGGCTATAAACTGAAATAGTGCCGTTCTGACACACAGTGTCAGAAGCCTAAGCACATCCTCCTGAATACTGTCACTAGCACGGCAGAAGCAGTCTCTGCTATGCTATGGTGCTGATCTGACATGATCCATTCTCCTTTACTACAGTTTTGGCTTCCGTCGTTGACTGAGGTTTAGGTGGCCATTCAGGATCGTCTTTGAGCTCCTGCGCCAAGTACATGTATTTAGCTTTTGGTGTCTTCTTTCTACAGCTTAGGGCCCAGGACAAGCAGCATTTTCCCCATCGATCCACTGACTCCTAGGAAAGAAAAAAACATCCCGAGTAAGGGTTTATTTGTTAAAGCATGCAATGAGCACAGAACAGTATGAAACAACTTCTGAATACAACAAATAACTAAGAAAATTTCATGCAAAAAGTCAGCTTTCAATTTAGGAACAGATTGTTTTTAAAGAGGACTTTTCCCAGCTCCTTTTTAGTTTTGTGCCCAAATTATTTTTGTATATTTATTAATACCCACTGATCACTTTTAGAAGAAAGTGACCATTGAATGATATCCTTGTTACTGCTAATACCGCTTTCAAAACACAAAGCATGTAGTAAACACCATGGAGTAATAATCAGGATCTCACTGTCACATTAAAAGAAAAAAAAAATCATATCTTTTAAAACCGTATCTCTGGCCAGGCATGGTGGCACATGCCTGCAATCCCAGCTTGGGTGCTGTGATGGTTAGTTTTTGTCAAATTGACACAGGTCCGTCCAAGTCATTCGGGAAGAGGAACCCTCAACTAAGAAAATGCCTCCATTGGACTGGCCTGTAGGCAAATCTGTGGGCATTTTCTTGATTAATAATTAATGTGGGAGAGACCAGACCACTAGGGTGCTGCCATCCTTGAGTAGGTGGCCCTGGGTTGTCTGAGAAAGCAAGCTGGGGAAGTTATGGGGAATAAGGCAGTAAGCAATATTTCTCCATAGCCCCTGCTTCAGTTCCTGAATTGGCTTCCCCCATGACAGACTGAATGAAACCTATAAGCCAAATAAGCCCTTTCTTCCCCAAGTTACTTTTGGTCATGGTATTTATCACAACAATAAAAACCTAACTCAGACAGCTATATAGTAAGACTATTTAGAAAACAAGTAACACCACACTCTTGCTGATATAGAACTGCTTTCACAATGTTTCCCTTGGTGATTAAGAGAACCAGCTGCTTTTTCAGAGGACCTGAGTTCAATTCCCAGCACACACATGGCAGCTCACAACCATCTGTAACTCCTGTTCCAGCTCATTTATCCTCTATAGACACTGCACATACATGGTACAGACATACATGCAGGCCAGAACACCAATATACAAAATAAAAATAAATTGAAATCGTTGTGATCAACCATGTTACTGAAAAATATGACCTTAGCTTAAATAATCCTTGGAGAACAGGAAGGCAAAGTTCTTGGAGAAAAATAAACTCAACAAAATAAAATAGTTTCAAGTAAAGTTTGAAATAAATCTAAATGACTATATATTTAACCTCTGAAAACAGCCCCAAAATTACTTTAGTTATTGCTTCTCCCAAGTAAAATTTAAATCCTAGATTGTTCTTTTACCAATCAACAACGACCAAGCCTACACTAGGCTCAATGGAAGCAATCCTACAAAACAAAAGTACAACAGATGGGCATTCTAATATGAACAACCAAAGTACCTACAGCCAAGAAGAGCAAATGTGTTATAATGCATACTTGAAACCTGCTTCTTAATTGGCCAACAGGAGTCAGGCATGTGTAGTGCCTGTATCCTAGCACTGGGGAGGCCAAGGCAGGAAATTTTGGGGCTCACCACCATCCTGAGCTAAATAGCACGTTTGGGGCCAGTTTAAGCTACAAAGTGAAACCTCTATGTCAACAGATCGATCTATCACTCACTGAAGGCAAGTAGTAGCCAATGGGAAGGATCAAAAAGTACTTCAAAATGAAAGCTCTGAAAACTAACTCCCAGTGCTTCCTCACTTGCACTAAGACAGCCATCAATACCCCTGCCTCTCTTCTTCAGTATATAGATAAAGTACTAAACTGCATTGCAACCAAGGATTTAAAAGACAAGTCACAGGTAAGTTGTACTACAGTCTAGGGAAAACTAAAATTTGTTCATCCAGTAACCTCTATTATCATCACAATGAAAGTTATTAGCTGTGCATGTTAGCATTGCTTGTAATACTAAATTCACAAGTTTGAGGTGGCCATGATCTACATCCTGAGTTCAAGGTCAGCCAGTGTTATATAGTGAGACCCAAAAAAAAAAAAAAAAAGAAAGAAAGAAAGAAAAAAAAGAAAGCCTAAGGTGGGGTTTGCAGGTGTAATATTACATTACTCTCTTTAAAAAAGAATCCATGACAAATCATTTTTGTATTAGAATCCAGTAGTCACCATGCACAGGATCCCTCAGGTGATTTAAGCAACAGCTAGCAGTTTCCTTCCCAATGTAGCTGTACCACAACAGTCAGTCATCTGAGATGACACTACACTACTGTGTTTTACTGCTTCCCTAGTGCTTTGATTCTTCTTCAATCCAATTGTGGAAAAGATCATTGTTCCTAAATATGAAAGCTGTCACTTTCATTTACAGTAGCACTGCTAAAGCACCACAGAGAAACACATCATGCTTGTCTGTGCAGATGAGTTCTTTGAGTGGAAAGGTGATGCATAAGAGGCAAAAAAGCCAAGAGTAATGGAATTTAAGACTCCCCCCACCCAATAAATTCACTGTTTTACACCTGTGGAAACAAAGGCAAGCAATATAATTAAAGCTAATCATAAATTGCATCATAACTGCACATTTTTAACATTTTGGGATTCTATATTATACACACACACACACACACACACACACACACACACACATCACATCTGTTTAAAACATCAAGTCACAAACACCTGAGATTTCCCCCTATTCCACTATAATTAGAAACATGTTTGGTTCCTGTACCCTTATCTCCCCCAAATGTCATGAACAAAAAATAAATATACTACACACAAGGTTCGTCAGACTGCACATAAATGTACCACACACAGCCTGATAATTTACTGGAAGAGAAAATTAAAGGCTACAGTCAGGACAAACTGAGAAATCAGGAGAGGGAAGATGGTAGGGTATTTAGTCATCGGGCTTAGAATGAGCACTTGGATCTCCCCAACACAGTTTCAGTTCCTGAAGCAGGAGAACACTGGATCCTTGGATTTAGTTAATTTGGAATGGTTAACGGGGCCAAAGTAAGAATCTCTAAAACAAGAATACCACAGGTCAACAGGGAAACTATACAGAATGTTTATAAAGATCTGTAGGCACAATCTTGCTTCTGAGACATTCTAAGTTGCTCAATCTAATGCCTGGCTCTTTATGGTCAGCAATCATTTAGGAAGAATTCATTTTCATGTTTGGCATGCATTGTGGTTTTCATAAATCTTCTTCAACATCAATCCTCAATATAAAACAAATACAATCCAAACTAGCAATCTGTCTAAGTTAAGTTCAAACAGTATTTTCAAATAGTTTTCTTAGTTGCAAAACAGCTACAGTTCAGTTAGATTTTCACAAAAGAGGTACATAACCTCAACACGGTCACAGTGTACAACAGTGATTCTAGTTCTCTTATAACCTCCAAATTCAACCACTTCAGCTTAGCACAGAGCCTACTTTGCAACCTACAGCTCTGAACTAACTCAGCAGTGCCCCTAAATGTGTTAAGGAAAGAAAGGGGGTGTTCTTTTTCTAAGACTAATACAAAGTTGAGGAGCTGCAGTCTGGAATCTTATGGGCTTCTTTGTAAAAATGAGTAGCACCAATTAGGCAGCATAGAGGACTGTGGCAGAATCACAGTACCACATGTGACTTGGGAGTAAAGCTAGTGTCCCCAGCCATCTTTACTTCCTTCTCACCTCAGTAGGGCTTTCTACTTCAGCATGGGTGACATCTTGAGCTAAACAATTCTTTTTTGGCAGGAGCTATTGTCTAGATACCACAGTACATTTATTTAGCAGCACCAATGGCCTCTACCCATTCTACATGACACTAACCTCTCTCCCTTATTTCTGATAACCAAAATTGTCTATGGGCAATGCCAAGTATTCCCTGATGGGGGGAGTTGGACAGAGTTGCCACTGATTGAGAAACAAAGCACTACACAGAGAAGCATCACTAGAGAAAACAATCTTTTTTTCCCCCCCTAAAAGTAAAGCTCCAAAAAATTCTTTCTTAAAACCACAGAACTAAAGCCAAAATTCCTGTCTACCCAGTGGTATCACACACACACACAAAAACAAACAAACAAACAAACAAACAAACAAAAAAAACCCTCTCTTTAGAACATGGCTACACTTCCTATTTAGACCAGGTCAGAGATCTCTTTGGAGAAGGTAAAAATTTGTATGTTTCCCTGTGCCTTTCCAAGTGTGAGCTGAGCCAGTCTGACCTTCTGAAATAATGCAATGATAGTGAAGTCACAAAAACAAACAAAAATCAAACCAGCTATGTCATTATCACAGGGGAGATGCAACTTAAGAACCTGAGCCCCACAGTTCTTTCTGGTCTTACCCACTACTAGTGACAACAAACATCACATTGCTTTCAAGAAAAAGAAACTAGAGTTAACTTCAGACTCATGCTGTCATTGCATGCCATCATTATTCTACCACACAACACAGAACACAAAGTGGCACTCTATACCTTATAGATTTAGCAAGCCTGGCATCAAACCTGTATTTCAGGCCTGCTTAATTACCAACACAAAACTCAAGCTATCATTTAGATAAAAGGTGATAAAGAGTTAATGGTTAAAATTAGGAATGCCAGCCAATCCTTGAACACATATAAGCCAAGCATGCTATAAAGAGCAATGGCTAACGTTTCAGAACACATTCTTTGAACGGTCTATGATCTGATCCTTCTACCTCCACCTCTCAAGCGCTGGGACTTAAACTCCTGACAAGGTGAGGTGTTAAATGTTAAAGTTCTCATGGGGCTCTGATTCACTTAGGTTTAACCTGTACATTCTATCAAGAGCTCTACTATAACATCCTCACACTAGGCTTATTCACTGGCTTTTCTTTCCTTTTGCCAGAGGCTATTTCACTGCCTTTAAAAGCCCTCACCACTGCTTATACAGAAATGAGCAAATAATTTACTCAATGAGAAGCAATAGTCAGGGAAAGCCAAAGTCTACATTACATTAATGCACAGCAACTGTCAAAACAAAAACACAGAAATAAATCTGCAAAAAGTGTCTCGATTCTGATCCAAGAAAAAACAAAACACTTCTTTATGACTGTGATTTACCTTCTAATAGGACCAGTGAAAATTAAATACAGAAAATATAAAGCTGTCAGAAATTAAAGAGTTAATTCTCAGTCAGGTGGTAGCTGCACATGTCTTTAACCCTAGCACTCATGAGGCAGAGGCAGGCAGATCTCTGTGAGTCCAAGGACAGCCTGGTCTACAAAGTGATTCCAGGATGGTCAGGGACACTGAGAAACCCTTCTGGGGGACAGGGTAAGGTAGACAGACTGAGACACTCACAGGCACGCACATATACACATACAGAGGACTGGAATGCAAAAGACTTATGAAAAGAGTAATTCTCACCTTTGAGGGTAATAAGACAGACAGACTGAGACACTCACAGGCACACATACAAAGGACTGTAATGGAAAAGACTTCTATGAAATCCCCAAAGTACTATGAAGCCGGTATTAAGTGCTTGCCATGAGTTTTCTAGGGCTTCTTACCAAAAAAGAAAAAAGAAATGCCAGGTACAACAAAGGTGGCTGAAGCTGCACACACAGAGTAACAAAACAAAGTACACAAGTGGGAAAGCCAATATGTACGTGAAGAATCAACAGTAACTGCTCAATTCCAACCTGTGGTGGCTGTGTGGTGGTGAAACGATACTCTCCTTGTTTGTCTCGATTGAACACAACTTTCCAAAGGACCGTGTCAAGGAAGAAGCTCTGAGAGATAGTCCAGTGAGTTAAGAATTAAAAATGCCAGGTCATTCCTTTTCAACATGCACATTTGATAACATTCACACAATGCTACATCATTAATATAAACAATATGATTTGCTTTTCATATGGCAAACCTCTGTAAGTACTACAAAATGATAAATAACTCATAACAAATACAAATCATAAAAATTCTTGATAAAATAAGACTCAATATTCTGCAAATTGGGTTCTGATCCCCCAGTGCTTTCCTAAATTAACAATATTGATGATTCATAGTCTTTTTCTTATTTTCACTTAAAATCCAATATTAATTCTATCTGCATATCTATACAAACATTTCATCAGCATCCTCTACAAATAATTCTCTAGATTAAACAAGAATAAAAAAGTAACATCTGAAAGATGAACTACACAGTAGGAGAAAGAATGCTTATAAAAGCCTTAGTGTGCTTTGTAGGACTCCTGAATAGAAATACACATTCTATGGAGCAGCTTAAATGATCCAAATATCCATGTTCCCACCATATCTCAATTTTAATGCAAGCCATCTTTTCTTGGGATAGCTGAATTTCAGCATAATTTCTCAATCTGAAATCATCACTAAAATAAACACATACAAGCCCTCAGACATCACAACTTATCTGCTGTCTTAATCTGTTTCTTTCACTAGCACTGAGAACTTAATGGCTCCTTTCAAAGAAATTAACACAAAGGCAATCTTAATGAGAGAGGCTATTTTCTTTCTTAAGTAGTACACTCTTTCTATTAGGGAATACAGATGGTGGTTCCATGAGCTGTCTGGATACCTACTTCTCTTTCTAATCACCACTCATTTTTGCTATCTCACCATAGCCTCCTATAATTCATGAATGCAACTCCATCAAACCTTCTGATAGAACTAAAGAAAGATCTGATCACTAAGCTAAAAGAATTTGCCTAAAATGAGAGTGTGGGCTTCTGTATAATATTATTACCTGTTCTCCTCACCACTACTACCACCACCTTTAAATCACCCAAGAATCCCAAAACTGAGTGCTTACCTCGACCGTGATAGACACGAAGGCATTGATAAGAACAATGATAAGCATATGTATACGCCACTGGTATGGTACATACACAATCTAGAAGACAAAAAAATTTTAATTAGTCTTAATTGATATTATACCATCACATCATGGTATCTGAAGTCAGGCATGGTAGTACATGCCTGTAATCCCAGTAGCTGGGAGGTAAAGGAAGATCAGGTGTTCAGGCAACCCTCAGCTACCTAGTAGTTCAAAGTCAGACTGTAACACCTGAGACCTTGTCTCAAAACAAACAAACAAACAAACAAACAAAAAACCTTCTGAGTTTACTGAAATCCTATTACAATAGTACTTATATACACACTTTATCCATTGACTTTCAATCAATATCATAAAGCATACACCTTTTCATACAACAAAACTCTATCTCATAATTTAAAGTGACTGAACTCAACATTAAATCTTAAGAGACTCAAAAGTCCATGCTCTAATCTACAATTTTACAAATGTTTAACAAGTATTTTTAAAATAAAAATCTGCCTTTCAAAAATAAGGTAGAGAGGTTGGGGCAATGGCTCAGTAGTTAGGAGCATGTGCTTCCAAAGGCTCTAACTTTGGTTCCTAGCATCCAGATCTACAACTACCTGTTAACTCCAGCTCCAGGGGATTCAATGCCCTCATCTGGCCTCTGCAGGGACTGCAATCAGCATGTACATTCCTCCAGACACACAGGCAAATGAAGTGGATACAAACTTAATGTTGGTCAAATCTCAAGTTGATTTCCCCCTATTTAAATCTCCAAACAGCTAGAACCATACCCATATGCCACCATATCCAACTAAACTCTGATTGCTCTCCATGACCCAAAACATCTTTTAAGTTATCAGAGTATCTAAGATACTATTCTAAGAGGCCAAGAAGTGAACTGAGCTAATGTACTTCATATCAACACACTACTAGTACACTAGGTTTGAGATGGGGAGACTGCAAGAGATACTAGAAGGCCAAAACAGACTGGGGCCAATGAACCTGAATTAAAGATAGAAGAATTTTCAGAATAGGAAACTCAAATAATGGCAAAAACAAAGCAAACAACCCATAAAACAAAACAAAACAAACAAACAAACAAAAACATTCAAAAATAAATAAATATAAGGTGGTACCAAGAAGAGAAGCAATGGAAAGAGATACATTTAGCTTTAAGCCCCGGGTTCTAGATACTGTGTGCGTGTGCGTGTCTCTCTGTGTGTACACACTTATGTGCACACAGGAGACCAAAGGATGTCACTTTCCTGTTCTATCACTCTTCAATAGATGCCCCTGGTGCTGGGATTAGAAGCACACATAACCATATCCAATGTTTTATGTGGGTTCTGGGATTTGAACTTGGGTCCAGCAAACACTCTTACCTCCTGAACAAATCCAACCCCAAAGTGAGCTTTTTAAAATGCTCAATTTGGGCAACTACTACCACTTCAGATTTGGGTCTACAGCTCAGAAGTGACAGCTAAACTCAGGGAACGGATTTAACAGTCTTTAACTTACTGATGCCAACTGCAGGCAAGGGAAATCATCTGAGTACTGAGAGAAAAGAGGGACACGACCAGACCCACAAAGGAGGATCCAGAATAAGGATCACAGAGGATGGGGGGAAGGGTGCCAGGAAAAAGCCAGAAAGGAAGAAAGCACCACAATATAAGGGGAAGATGTCTAAAAAAACTGACCAGGTTACGAAGTACTTCGAGAACTAAGGAAAGGCCCAGGAAAAAAAACTTCAAAGGCTCACACACATTGCATGCAACTAATAAGGTGGTATATGGCCTTGGTCAGAGCAGTTTCAGTAGATCAGCCATGCTTGGCGGCAGAGTGTGTGGCGGTGAGCAGAATACAAAACTCAGTGAAACACATGAACACATTCATACTGTGCTCTTCAAAGTTCAATAATGCAGTTTTTATGAAAACACTCAAGATAAAGTTTGCTATGGTATGGGTAAGGTTACTCATGTCGAAATGTGATTCCCAATGGGTCTTTGAGTGACTGGTTTACAGGGATTAATGTACTTTCTGCTAAGGCAGTTTAGTTATTCCAAGAGCAGCTTGTTCAAAAGTGAACTGGGCTTCCCTGGCTCTTTATTACTATACTTCCTATTATGTGACCTCTTCCCATACATGCCAATTGGACTTTCCACCTTATGACCTTGACAGGAGAAATGGAAGACTTCACTAAAAGCTGAACGGATACTGACTGGTACAGTGCTCTCAGACCTTCAGCCCAAAAGACCAAAATAAAACCCCCTCTTCTTGTTATAAACCATCTATCTGTCTTCAAGTGTTTTGTTATGGCAAAGAACACTGAAGGGACAAGTGATAAGCTCAGTGGCAAAGAATACTAACAGTGGCTCACAAATGCCTGTAACACCAGTTCCAAGAGGTCAGTGGCATCCTTTCCTGGCTTACAACCTTCTACAGTCATGATCGCTTACTATCTATAGGCCCTAAGAGTACCTCAACTTTCCTCTCTGATTCTTTTTTCAAAGCTGAACTCATACTTATCCTTATCCTCACCCACACTACTTTCCTCCCCACCCTAACCTCACTAACTAAAATCCCAGGATGTTAATATCCATATTATCAGTGGTAGTTCATTCTCCAACAGACTCTCAAACTAAAGGAGCCACGACTATTAAATGGCTGGTTACCACATCCATAGAGATGATGCCCAGCAGCTGTAATTACTATTCTCTTCAGGGAAGGAGTAACAGAGCCCACCACCAGGAACTGCTTTCTGAACTGACCCTCAACTTTACCATATCCAAGTCTCACTTGAACACAATAAGCACTCCAACAGAAAGAATACATCTTACTAAAAAAAAAAAAAAGAAGAAGAAGAAAAATTCCTAGCAATAAAATAATTCTTTATATGAGAACTCCAAAGATGTAGCATAAGAAACTGGAAAAAAGACAACTTTTCCAAAAATCACTAACCCTACAGTAATAGCATCTGGTAAGAACGAATTCTATGAAACCCCTGGCAGAGAACACAAAAAGGTAAGTGTATGTGAAGAAATCAAAGAAAATAAGCTACTGAATGAGAACATAAGCAACTGAATGAAACATAGAAGGCAACACAAGGCTTTGAAGAGGAATTCCACAGATGGAAATACTAAGCAAAAACTAATCTGTAATGCGGGAAATGGAAACAAGTCAAATAAACTCCCTGTAAAGTTTCACCAACTGAATGGATCAAGGAGAGGAGAGAAAGTGGAGGAACTAGAACAAACCAACATAGACAAAGATGAATAACAAAGCTACCAGTGAGGACTAAAAAATGTGTGACATTCTGTAAATTTCTTTATGTTCACAAAAGATGCCAACCCAGGTTCAGAAGGCATATAGGACCAGACAGATAATGCCAGAAAAGGAGCTCATTGGTCACAGCATGATTAAAATAATGAACGGGGAAAAAGCAGCAGGGGAAAAACACCAAGTCACATATCAAGGCAGGTTCATAAGAAGAACAGTATGTCATTCAACTGAAAATTTAAGAGTCAGAAGGCTTGGAATGATGTCTTTCAAGTTCTGAAAGATAATTGCCAACCCAGAAAACTATACCCAGCAAAGCTGTCGGTTATAACTGAAAGAAAATTAAAAGCTCTCCATGACAAATACAGACTAAAAGAATTTATGAGCCAGGTGTTGGTGGTGCACGCCTTTAATCCCAGCACTCGGGAGGTAGAGGCAGGCAGATGTCTGAGACCAGCCTGGTCTACAAGAGCTAGTTCTAGGACAGCCAAAAAGAAAAGAAAAAAGAAAAAAGAAAAAAAAAAAAAAGAACTTATGATCACTAAGCCAGCTCTATAGAAGATACTTTAAGGAATTTTTCGTATTGAAGAGAACCATCCATCCATGAGGCCACAGGATAAAATAAACCACGTAATGATTGGAATATGTGTTACATTTGTTTATGCTGTGGAATATTTAATGGTTCAAAGATGTGTTGTACTCTTTTATGTTGCATTTGTTTAACTCTGTAAAGCTGTGTTACTTTGCCTGCCTAAAACACCTGATTGGTCTAATAAAGAGCAGAATGGGAAAGAAGCCATACAAGGAAAATTAAATGAGGTAGTTTAATCTTTCTTCAGCATCAAACATCAGAAGTATCAATTGGCTTTTTACATTCCACATAGTACAATGTCACTTTCTATCAACCATAACACAAGTAATAATTGAAGTGCTAAGCCTTACCTCAAGAACCTGGTCAACAGAGGCAACTGGATGCAACATGATGAATAATATGAAAACATACAAAATAATCACAGATATAACAAAAAAATCTGGAAAGGAAAGTAAACAATTAAATTAGGCATTTCCTTTAAATTAAAAAGTGTCAAACACCAAGAAGCATACAATTACTTCAAGATTTGGTTTAAATACCTCTACTTACATTGATGAAATATCAAAAGCATATGCTGTTATTCCCTACAAGATAAGACATTCTGCAACCCCATCGAAGATTCATTAGAGACAGCTAAAGCTTCAACCTTAAATGTATGTCAGATAATGATAACACACATTTTAATCCCAATACTCCAGATACAGATGCTGAGTTCCTGATCAAGTAATTCCCCTGCCCCAATTCCACACTTATAAATGGAAATACAATATTCTACTGCACAAGTACAACACATTAGTTATCTGAAAGTTATTGTGGTAGGTAAAGAAAGTGCTGGTTGGAACCACACAAATACAAACAGATAAAATGGAGAGAAAAGGAGGGAACTAAAAGAAGCAATCCCGGGCAGGTATGATGGCACAGACCTGGAAAACGGAGGTAGGAAGACTGAGTTTGAGGTCAGCCTGGCCTGAAAGATGAGATCTACCTCAGGAGAATAGTGAATCAGAATGGATGGATTGATGGATGAAGTTTCAATTCAATAAAGCATCACCCATATTACTTTCCAAATCTTACGTAATTTTAATAATTACGTTCCTGATAAATATATTCCTCAGTTAAGAAACTTGTTATATTTACCTAAACATGTTTTTCAATAGTTGCCAAGCCACCACCAGATCTAACTTCTAAAACTGTGCCAAAATTCCCATGAGAGGGAAAAAAGTTATCTTCACTAGCCTGGAGATAAAGCTATTATGGGCTGGGTGATTCTTGGCAGTTGAGCACTTGCTGCTCTTCCAGAAGATACAAGTTCTTTTCCCAACACGCACATTTGCATGTAACGCCAGCTCCAGAGAATCTAATGCCCTTTTCTGGCCTCTGAGGACTGCATACAGGTACATGGAAATAACAGAAACAGAAACACTCATATATAAAAATAAGTCGTATTTTTCAAAAAAGGTAGATGTTGCATGGCTATATGTAAGCACACAAATTTTTTAAAAAATCACTTGAGACTTCAACAATAGAAAATAAAGCATTCAATTGAGAGAAGTAGGAATGTCAAGTAGCTTACTGGGTTTCTGGGTCCTCTTAGGATTGTCAGTAAGTGGGCATTTAGCAACTCTGTCAGAGGATGTTACATGTTGCTGATGATTGGGGGGGGGGGAGGAGAAATCCTCGGAGGCTGCAAAGTGGTTAAGTTAAAACTGAGTTAAAGCCAAAACACTTTGCTTAAAATGAGGATACTTAAAATGTAAAATAAAGAGCAAGCCATGGAACATTCCTGTAATCTCAGTACTTAGGAGGTGGGTTGGGAAGACCTAAAATTCAAGGATGACCTTGAACTTCTAGATAATGAGTACCAGGACAGCCTGGGCTACAGACCCCGTTAGAAACAAACAAAATGTAAAATAGTCTGGTGGCATATGTCTACAATCCCAAGATTTAGGAGACTGGAACAGGACCACCACCAGTTCAAGGACAAAATGCCTAGAGCTACCTTAGATTGGACAGTAAGACACTGTCTCAATGTTCTCTAAAGGAAAAATGATATGTAAAACCAAGTAATCATGTCCCAGCTTACTGTAACATAAATCTTTTTGACAGAAAAGGATTTCCTGCCTATTGCCTCTAGATTCTCAAAATAGTATAGAAAGCAATAAGGTGATTAAAAATTAGGAATTCAGCTAGGCAGTAGTGGCACATGCCTTTAATCCCAGCACTTGGGAGGCAGAGGCAGGCGGATCTCAGGCTGGTGTACAAACTGAGTTTCAGGATGGCCAGGACTGTTATGTTACATAGAGAAACCCTGTCTTGAAAAAACAAAAGTAATTCCAGAGACACTGACCACAACAGTATGAGTAGAGAAACAGGCAGCTGGTAGTGTGTAGAATATCCTAAAGGAAAGCATACTTACTGTCTCCCAGAAAGCATCCTTCAGGTTCCTGCCTCCAAGTCTAATACCCTGTACTCCCTCCCTCCCTCCCTGAAAAGGGCCCAAAGTAACAGGATAAGAAAACCAGTTGTCGGGGCTGGAGAGATGGCTCAGGGGTTAAGAGCACTGACTGTTCTTCCAGAGGTCCTGAGTTCAATTCCCAGCAACCACATGGGGGCTCACAACCATCTGCAATGTGATATGGTGCCCTCTTCTGGCACACACTGCATACATGATAGATAAATAAATAAATAAATCTTAAAAAAAAAAAAAAGCAAGAAAACCAGTTGTCATTTTAATTTTTAAACTTGGGAGTGGGAATGTTCGAGATAGTGAGAACAAGACAGTAAACATTCAAAGCACAAAGACATATTCTCGATCTATGAAGGTTTTAACAGTTAAAATTCTTCATTTAATTGTTTTTTTTTTTTTTTATTTTAATTTCATTTTTGAGACAGGGTCGGGCTGTAGCTAAGTAGGATCATCATGTCATACTTACAATTCTTGTAGCAAGGCTGCCTGAATGGCTTTCCTTTTGAAAAGGCAACTGCCACTGTGAGGTACTGAAAACTGGAGATAAAAAACACTGTGGTATTTTCATAATTTTGTATTTCACATGTATCGAGTTCAGTTCCGTTGTACAAATGTGATGAGTTCCAACAAGCGCTTCTTGTTGTATTACAAACACTGGAACACACAAAGATCCTATTAGGAACACAGCAGCATTTCCCCAAGAGGCCAGTGTTATTTTAGATGCCTTAAATCACTACAATACAAAGGAGAAGATGCTATTGATGGCAAAAGAAGCAACAGCAGCAACAGAGTGAAGGCAGAAAAAATTTCAGATTATCATCATTTCAATTAATTAAGATTATAATCAACCGGGACTGGAGAGATGGCTCAGAGGTTAAGAGTGCTGACTGCTCTTCCAGAGGTCCTGAGTTCAATTCCCAGCAACCACATGGTGGTTCACAACCATCCGTTATGAGATCTGGTGCCCTCTTCTGGTGTGCAGATATACTTGGAAGCAGAATGTTGTATACATAATAAATAAATAAAATCTTTAAAAAAGACTATAATCAACCATTTTTTTTTAATTTTTTGGAATTTTAGCACAGTGACTGTAAACAGGTCACAGGTCTATCCTTAGTGCTACCACTTTTTATCACTGCCCCCATGATAACTGGGGTACAGTATCTTATTTAATAGATTTGATACCACTTCTTCACCTGGGATTCATACTTCTCTGGAGTTATGCCGCAAGGACTAAATAGAAAGAGTTGTGCTGATGCCTGGTCGTGCACTGCCACCAAGACAATCTTCAGTGTTTCTAGTTATGACTTACCCTCCTGTGTACTGTCAGGCATACACAATTAGTAATGTTACTTCAACTAATGCAGCTAAAATGTTAAGCCTCTGTAAGTGGATTCTGGAAAGATTCAAGACAATTTTGCCCTTTCCTTTTCATGGGCATGCCTATCTACTTAAAAGAAAACAGTAAAATTTGTAATTTTCTTAAAATTTTAATGGAAACCTCAATAAAGAAAATTATTCATTTATTAAGTCATCATAGTTTGTGAACAGTAAAGCACTTTATAAATAAACAACTAATATTCTTTTCAGAAATTTAAAAATAAATACAGTGTTTCTTCAACTTGGGGTAGCAAAGCTGTAAGCATGACACTATGCCAATTCTCTCATTTTACAGATAAGCAAGTCTCAAAGGCAAATTAATCTAAGGTCACATCTAGGTAATGAGAAGAACTTTCTTTGCCTGTACATTTTCTGCTATGGTCTTAGTATGGCCCCCTCTAAAGTCTATACTCAAATTTAATCCCCACTGAGACACTAAAAGTAGAGAATGAGTGATTAGGGCTTTGCCCCTGTGAGTAGATTAATTCTTTCATGCAATTAACAGATAAATGAAGCATATCAGAATAGGTCTGTTATGAAACCCAGTTTAAGTAGGTCTCTCATTGTGTGATGTCTGGTACTGCCTAGGAAACAAGACCAAAAAGATAGCATATATAATTTCTCAGCCAGAATATAAAATAAATAACCTGGGTCTGTGGTACTGATTAACAGAACATTAAGATAGTCTCTCTTAAAGATAGACGTTACCATGATAGAAAAAGAAATAAAGTATTTGGGTGTTTAAAGCAAGCTGCATGCAAGTCCTATGCACATTTCAAGACTCATCTTTTTATATTCATCTCACACAAATTTTTAGTGATTAAGCAACTTACTCTGAATATGGATCGCACACTTTATACTGCTTGACCCAGAAAAAACCCAGCGACTGAAATCCAACACTGATGATAATCTGAGACAAGACGGAGAAGAGGAGTGCCCCGGATATAAGGCCCGAAGGTGGTCTCTGTGCCACAAGTTCTTTCCAGGCAGGATTTAAGCTCACTATATTTGAAAGAACAAAAACTTTTTGTCTAAATTCCCCACTAAGAAAGACATAATAAAATACACTTGGAAATAAAATTCTGATTTTGCCTATTATTTAATAAGAAAGGTTTCTAAACACACTGAAGTCAGATGTCATACACATATAATCTATACAAGAAAAAAATTTATGCTTATTTCAAAATGCTTCCAATAAGTTTTACTTTTCTGTTGAAATTCATGGGAAATACTATTACCAGTAAAAATAATAGTAACTGTAATCCCAGCATGAAGATGAGGCAGGATGATCACAAGTGCAAGGCCTGTCTGGGATACACAAGCAAACTATGTTTTATCATGTTGTGTCATAACAAAAAAATGCAAAAGGAAAACCCAATTAGATGTTTTCTCTTTAAAGAAATTACTAGTCACATTTGAAGCAATATGAATAGAACAGTAACAAATTAGTTCAACTGGTAACACATGGGCTTTACCACTTTCTCTTCTATTACAATCAGTGTATCTGGTTTTATGTCGAGGTCATTGATCCACTTGGACTTGAGATTTCTGCAGGGAGATATTTATTTGCATTCTTTTACATGCAGACATCCAGTTTAACCAGCACCGTTGGTTGAAGATGCTTTCTTTATTGTAGTCTGTGTTTCTGGCTTCTTTAGCAAAAAGAAGGTGTTCATAGTTGTGTGGACCTACATCTGAGTCTTTGATTGAATTCCATTAATCAGCATGTCTGCTTTTATGCAAATTCCATGCAGTTTTTATTACTATAGCTCTGTAGTGCAGCTTGCAATCAGGGATGGTGATATCTCAAGCAATTCCTTTTTATTCAGGATTGTTTTGGCTATCCTGGGTTTTTGTTTTTCCATAGGAAGTTAAGAACTAACCTTTCAAAGTGTGTAAAGAACTGTGTTGGCATTTTGATAGAGACTGAGTTGAATCTATATACCACTCTTGGGCATATGCCCAAAGGATGTTCCATACTACCACAAGGAGACTTGATGACTATGTTCCTTGTGGCTTTATTCACAATAGTCAGAAACTGGAAACAACCTATATGTCCCTCAACTGAATAAAGAGAATGGAGTATATATATATATTTACATAATGGAGTATTACTCAGAGGTTAAAAAAAAAAAAAAAGACAAAAAATTTGAAGGCAAATGGATGGAACTTAAAAAATCCTGAATGAGGTAACCCAGACCCAGAAAGACAAATACAGTGTGTATTCACTTGTAAGTGGATATTAGCTGTTAAGTAAATGATAATCAAAGCTATAATCCAAAGACTCAGAGAGGTTAGGTAAATAGGGATACAGGAGGAAAGAAACATGGATCTCCCTAGAAGGGAGTAATGGAACAGAAACGGGAAGGTGGGGAGGGGAAACGGAGGGAGAGGGAGAGAGTGCTTGGCAGGCAGAGACAGCTGGAATTGTAAAGCATTTGAAGGGTGTTGTGAAAACCTAGTCAGTGGAAATTTCCTGAAATATATGAGAGTGAACCTAGTGAGAACTCCTAGTAATGGAGGATATGAAGTCTGAACTTTGGTAGCCAGGCAAGACTGTTACATTCAGTTGAGTTGTTGGCCGAGGAGGTCCTGGAGATCCCTAAACAACCTAGGCTGATGCTCTCTGAAAACTGATAGCAGAGCCCCATTGCTGAGGACAACTTCCATTCAGATCACTGAACACTGAGAGGTTGAGCTGGTGTAGGCTTGGAGCCTTCCCCCTTATGTTCTAGTCTCTGACACAAGAAGGTACTCTGGACACCAAACAGCTACAAATCTCCCTACTTAAAATATGTCTTGCCTGCAGGATGTGCTGGGGCAATGGTTGTGCAGAGCATGTGGGGGTGGCCAACCAATGGCTGGTCCAACTTAAGGCCCAACCCACAAGAGGGAACCCATGTCCAACACTACTTGGATAGCTAGAAACCCAGAGACCTAGGGTAGGATCAAACAGGATTGGTCTTTAAAAAAAAATTATGAAATGTTTCCTAATGACATTCTGTTATACTCTAGACTGGTACCTTATCCTGTCATCATCACAGAGGCTCCCTCAGAAAGCAGATGGGAGTGGGTGCAGAGACCCATAGTCACACATTTTACAGAGAGTCAGTCTAAACTGGAGGTTTCTCCCCTTAGAGATGGGAAACCCCATGTAAAAGGGGGAGGAAAGACTGTGGGATGGAGGACACTAGGACAACATGGCCACCAAATCAACTAAGCAGGGTTTCATATGGGCTCACAGAGACTAAAACAGAGCACAGGGCATGCATGGGTCTACACCAGGTCCTCTACATATGCTATGGCTGTTAGCTTGTGGAATTCCTAAGAGGTGGAATTTTTTTTTGCCTGCTCTTGAGAATCTTTTCCTCCTACTGGGTTGCCTTGTCTGATTCTTGTTTGGCGGTCATCTTTTGGAAGCCTGCTCTTTTCTGAAAAGGAAATGGAGGGGGGGACAGGAGGAGAGGGGAAGTAGGGGGGGTAGCAGTGGAGAGAGGGGAAACTATGTTTGGGATGTCTTGTATGAGAGAAGATAATGGCATCAAGGATCAAATCCATATAATGTCTGACAAAGGATCCTCTCCTGATTTACTGAGCAAGAAGGGGAAGGTGAGCAGTTAGTAATTTTTTTTTTTTGTCCCTATGGTGTAAATAAATCCATCTCAAGGTTTAAAAAAAGAAGATAAAAAAAGACAAAAACTTAATAAAATTTATGAGCCAGGATTATAATTCACTTCCAGCCTAGAGAACAGATTGAGCAAAATATAAATAGCCAGTAATAAAACATATGTGGGAATACTGGAGTAGGATAAGCTACTTACAATAGCTGATACAAATTTACCAAAATTTAATAAATAATTTAAAATTTTCATATGCTTTGAAATCAATAAAATTGGCAAAATACTTACTTGTAAATACCACTACCAAAATGATTGCCAGATCAATGAAGAGAAACTGAAAGTCTCCCAGGTTACTCAAGATCTACAAAAGCAATTGTGAAAGTTTAAGAATGTCTTCATAGCACTGTTGCCAGGCTATAGTCCTGTATTTCCCAAGAATGGCACCTTCAAAATGACACCTGAACCTGCTTAAAAACTGAAATATATTTGCTTTTGAAATTAATCAATAATACCATCACTTGCATGACATTTGACTGAATGTTAGCATAAAAGGTCTGACTTTAAAATCTGACAAACTCAACATGAAATCCTATCCAAAACAAGCAAAGCCAATCTGTATTACAGACTAAAAAGAATAAATCAGCATTTCTCTGCCACAAAGTTGTAGCCATGGGTGCAGGCTTTAAGGAACATGCATCCCAAATTAATGGCACTGCTATTCAACTTAATTATTTCAAGGTAATTTTATACAAACTATATAAATTTCATTTTTAATCAATGTATTTAAAATTGAGAACATATACCCAGTATCTTTGGTGCCTGACCATTAGGAACATGTCTGGGTGATGTTGGTACTCACAGAATACAGAAGAGTAACACTGAAGTATTGTATGATGCTGTATAATGCCATAAATTTAAACACACAGAATGATGTCATTAAAGCAGCACGGCCTTCCCTGTGAACAGAAATGTTGGCATGTGATCAACGGCACCTTAAGCTTGTCCTTCAGAATACAATTCCATCATGACAGATGAACATCAACATTCATATCTACAACAAAGTTCTTTGATATCAAAAAATTATGTCAACACAAAAGCATCAATCTGTTACTAGTGAGTTACAGGTAAAATTCACTGCTGAACATTAAAACAAGTTCATATTGCTCTTTATGACAATTTATCCTATTATATTTTAAGCAATCTAGAACAAAACTACAAAACTTTGATCCAGGAATACTAGCTTTTACATCTATACTCAAAGTCACTGGGGAGTCTGAGACTGGAAGATGGAACAAGTTCAAGGCCACCCGGGCCACAAAGTAGGTGCATGCATGGTGGGGGGTGGGAGCTGGAGACATGGTTTAGCAGGTGGGAGCATTGGCTTTTCCAGAGGATCTGGCATTCAAAGCACCCACATGGCATCTAAAAACTATCCATAACTCTAGTTCTGGGATTCAGATGTTCTTTTCTGGTCTCCTTGGAGATCAGGAACACATGTGGTACACATACTTACATACAGGTCAAAACACATACATGTTTTATTTTTATTAAGGTCTCTTTGAAAAGAGAGGGGGGGGGAGGAAGAAAGGAAGGAAGGAAGGAAGGAAGGAAGGAAGGAAGGAAGGAAGGAAGGAAGGAAGGATGGATGGAGGGAAGATTCCAATTTCTATTACCTGATGAGGTTTGGCACGCAGGAAATACTAGGTGTTTTAGAAGTAAAAGGAGATGCCACGGAAGCTTCAAGCTCAGACAAGGAAATACCACCATGTGCCCTCTTCAAAGCCTAATTGTTTCAAGAAATCTGATTAAATTTAGTGAATATAACTCAGGCTAAAGAACAAACTACAAAATAAATCACAAAAACTTTACTTACACCACAATCATTTGCACCGTCACCGCACATCCCAACAAAGTAACTAAGAAAAAAATAAGTTTAAGATTTTATTACAATTCACATATAAAGTAGTGGATTCTCTAGCAGTCACAGGGAGCTAACAGCTCAATGAGTTTTCATACTAGGTGACCACAGACAGGACATTCTACTGACACACACCAGGCTGAGACAGGAATGAGAGGAGTAACTTATCTCTGTCTATACATAGACAGATGATTTCCTTATGTGGAACACAAGGCTTCAGACTGTATACTTTTGAACACACTTGTGTTATGAGTAAAGATTTCTCCCTAGAAACTTCAAGGGTTTCTAGGATTCCAGAGCCATGAACCAAGAACATTTCTGTGAATCTATAAACCCAGAACTTGGGAGGATGATCAAGAGTTCAAGGCTAGCTAAGGCACTGTACTCAAAATGAACAAACAAAAAACCCAAAATCAAATTATAGTCTCTTCTTTCAATATACACACACACATATCCATACAAGTAGCCCTAACTAGTCTGAGTAGGCTGAAAAAGGAAGGAAGAAGTGGGAGGAGGGATGGGGGATGAGGGATGGGAAGTGGGCTTGTTTATAACAAACTATATGCAGGCACACAAATTTCAATGAAAAGAACACTAAATCAATGACTCCTGTGTAGGTATGACCTTAAGAAAGGATTGCGGATATTTTACTTCAGCTAGATAAACATGCAGGAGACCTTGTTTTAAAAACAAAGTTCTTACCTAACTTACAGGTAACAATTCTTCACACATGCACACAGAGATGCATGCATGCACATTAACTTTAAATATTCCTCATCTGTTATAAAAGGTGTTTTGGATTTTTTGGATTTTTCCGTATTTTGGATTGTTTGCTTAAATTCTACTGTGACTTCAGATTTTGAAGTATTTCAGATTTCTGGTGTTTGGATTAATGATGCTCAACTTATACATAAGAAATATTAGTACTCTGAATTGAAAATGAAATTATAATCTGTGAGAGAAAAAACCCAACAAATCATAAAAATCCATGAATACTTACTCTACATTCTGCAATGCTTCTATCAATTGTGTCTTCTGATCTGGTGCCATTCGGGCAAACACGGTGCCATGTAACATCAACTAGAAGATATTCACATTTTTTTTAAAAAAATGCTATTCATAGTTAGCTCATAAAAATATCCTTAAATACATAGTACTTACCTTAGGAACAAGATCTTGAAAATGTTCCAGTATCACTGAAAATGACTTTCCATTCATTGCAAAATGATAGGGAGTAGACTGAAAATCCTCTAAGCTATCATGGCCAAATTTAATTGGAATAGCCTGCACATGAGACAATCAGAACAATATTCAGGCAGCCATACCAAGAAATATAGTTCTATGTTCAATATATTTATTCCAAGATTAAATTATTTCACATTATACATGTCACTAAAATCTTAGCATTTGCAGGGGGTGGGTGAGGGTGGATGTGTACATCTCTAGTCAAAATGCTCGGGAGGTAGAGGCAAGCCTTCTCTGAATTCAAGGCCAGCCTGATCTACACAGCAAGTTGCAGGACAGCCAGGGCTGGCTACATAGAGAAATCCTGTCTCAAAAACAGTACAAAACCCAACCAACCAACCAACCAAAACAAACCTTACCATTTATTCAAAAAGGAAAAATTAATATTAATATTAAGGTTATTTATTTGAAAAAAAGAAAAAGAAAAATTAAGACCAATACCAGAGCTGGCAGTGCACCTATAAACCTGACGCTAGAGAGGTGAAAGCAAGATCTGCTTTTCTCGGGGTTTCTCTGTGAAGCTCTGGCTGTCCTGGAATGCACTCTGTAGATGAGGCCTACCTCAGAGATCTACCTGCCTCTGCTGGAATTAAGAGTATGTCAGCACCCTAGAACTTCATTTTTAGGGACTGCCTGCATCATTTACTGCTGATTACAGTTAAAACTGGGTATTTGGGATTCTTATACTTTGAAGGTGCGATTCTCAGTTTTGACTAAATATCAAATTTAAACAGATTCTTATGCTAATGAATGAGAATTTCTGGAGTGGTAGTCCTCACTTCTATTTTCACTTAGACATTTTGTTAATATTAGGTTTTTCTGTACCATCTTTGTTGTTGTTGTTGTTTTTTCCAGACTAAATTCAAATGAACAAACTAAAAAAGACAATATAAATATTACCTCTGAGTCAATTGCTGATGATTCATTACACTGTGTCAGGGAGTCTGCATAATGCCAAATGATCTTGGCAACTTTCCCATCCTTTGGAGGTAATGCTTCAGCAATAATAACTTTATCCTGAGGTAGAATCATTCCACAGTCTCTGGCTACAGAGACAGCCGTCAACATGTTGTCACCTAATTTTCCAAAATATTTGAAATACATTAAGGTTGAAAGGGAAACAGAGATGTATGGAACAATACTAAGTATCTACTACAATGCCTATGGCTGGCAGAACAGAATGAGGATAAAGAGGCCCAAAGATGAGCCATCTGGAAAAGGTGCTCTGCTGCCAAACCTGATAACCAGTGTGAGTCTCAGCTCTCACATGGAAGGAGAATGGACTTCTGTAAGCTATTCTACTGACTTCCACACATACATATACATAATACAGAAAGGCAGTATAATTTTAAAAATTCTAATCTAATTCTAACAAACACGTGGTAGTTATTATCAATGCATATGTCTGCACTAGAAATTGTAAACAATCCCTAAAATGAACAAGGCATGCACTTATTCCTCAGCAATTTTATATTACAAGAAACATATACAGATTACACAGGGTGATGTATGACATGTGGTACAGGAAACAGAACAAACAGGAATAGATTTAAAATGTTTCTTTCAGTTTCTCCTTCACTACTGTACTGTATTTTCAATAAACAGATTTTGTTAGAAATCAAAGGGAGAATTATATTTTATTATCTTGGGAAATTATTGAGTTGAAATAGGACAATACATGGTAGAGCCCCTAAATATACTTTTATAACCATCCTTCAATAATATCACACAACTTGAGCTGCACGGTCACACTCACCTGTGACCATGACAGTTCGAATGTTGGCTTTATGCAAATCTTCAAGTACTGCAGGGGTTTCCTGCTTTAATTTGTTCTGCATTATAATCAATCCCATAAAATCCATGTTGTTTTCAATGGCATCTCTGAAGACAAAGAATACACAATGGTTTAGTTTGGACAAAAGACTGACAGTGAAATCCAAAATATCTGAATCTAAACTATCTTTAAGTTATAAAGTAAAACACTAACATGCTGAATGAAGCACACGTACCAGTTCACTATCTCAAAAAATCATTTCCAAACAATGTTTTAATATGTTGAAATAAAAATTAACCTCACATGAAATACAAAGATCATCTTCATAAACATTAATCAGTTCTGGCACAAAGTATACTCATATTTTATCCAAAAGTGTAAAAGCACAAATCTGTGTCCCTTGTGAAATACAGCCTATTTAAATGCTAAGGGTGGAGAACACACCAGGAGCTATTCCAGAAGCACATTAGATACACCTGTAATGGATGCATTAGGTCTACAAAATGTCTATAAAACACAAGCCTTTATCTTAGCAAATATAAAAATAACCATTAGTAGTATCAATGAGATTTACTTAGTGCACAGATGGATATCACTATTCTAAAAGATACAAGAGTTACCAGAATGCTACTCCTTTAGTAAGTGAGTATCTGCTATGCACCTGCAAAATTCAAGTCCCTAGGTCAACGATAGACATTTCTGTAATAGATGTTTATAAAAACATTCTTTCAGCACTATCATGGTGACAAACTCTGTTCAATGACAGTTATGATTGTGCCTCGACTACTAAGTCTCAAACTATGATAACTGGGAAAGAAAGCCTTAAGTTACCAACTAAAACTTAACATGTGAAATCATTAAGTGATTAATTGACAAAGGGGATCGGGTATAGCTCAGCCAGGAAAGTACTTGCCATGAAAGCATGAAGATCTGATCTGGATCCCAGTATACATGTGAAAAGGCAGGCTTGGTAGTACACACCTGTAATCCTAGTGCTGGGAAAGCAGAGACAGGAGGACCCCTGAAGCTTGCTAGCCAGTTAGTACTGGTGAACTGGTGAGTTCCAGGGTTAGTGAGACACTGTGTCTCAAAGATCAAAGTGGAAAGCAATAGAGGAAAATGCCTACCATTGACCTCTGGCCTACAAACAGAGACCCAAGCACACATACAAAATGGGTAAATTCAACTATAAAGACACCCGGGTATTTATTTATCTATGCAATCCAAACCATCTTTTAAATAATTCATTCATAACAAATGATAAAAGACACTGCAGAGTAAGGGGGGTGGTCTTGAGATCTGATTGTGTTCAAAACACAGTTGAAACAATGTGAAATTACTAGGTAAGTAGCACTGACTAGTTTCTTATTGGGCTCTCAATTCAGGGTTCAGCTGATTTCCTAACTTAAGAACTTAAGAAGCCTGGCTTTGTTGGTGAATGCCTTTAATCCCAGCACTTGGGAGACAGAGGCAGGCGGATCTCTGTGAGTTTGAGGCCAGCCTGGTCTTCAAATAGAGTTCTAGGACAGTTTCCAAAACCACAGAGAAACCCTGTCTGGAAAAATAAAAATCCTAAGAATGCCAAATGTGGTGGATATCTTACACTCTAATGATCTGCACAATTCTCAAATGTAATAATAGATTGGTTACTATGAGGCAAAACACAGAGATGGTCTAAAGGAAGAGAACAGACAAATTTAACAGGGAGGGATAGGTACTCTGATCAAAAGAAACATCTATTCAAGGAAAGCTCTCTGAATATGACAGACTTAAGAACTATAGGAGACTGAACAATTAGTCTTTAAGGGGGACAATGGCAAAAGGTGACATTAGAATGAAAGACAATACTACTGTGTCCTTTTGTGGGAATTAGGACATCCCCATGATTTCAGTGTACTTGTGTAACATTTTACTAGGTTTTTGTATGTATGTGTTTTGTCTGCATAAATGAATGAAATGTGCCTGGTGCCCACAGAAGTTAGATGAAGATGTTGGATCCCCTGGTACTGGGGTGGTACCACATAGCTGCTAGAAACCAAACCCAGGTCCTCTGAAAATGCAGCCAGTGCTTTTAACTTCTGAGCCACATCTCCAGACCCCTTGCTCTGTTTTTGTTTGTTCGTGTTATGTTCAGATCATCTCTCCATAATAGGCAGAAGTATCAGGACAAACTATATTCCATTCTGCTTATAAAACACAGCCTGAAATATTAAAAGCACTGCCCGTAAAGGCCAAGTCCATTATCAGCTATAGCAACAGAAACAGAGGATGTGATGGCTGGTAACAGCTGTCAGGCAACCTGACAAATAACCAAGGATCAACTGCACAGAAGACTCTGAGCAAGCCTATGGAGGGGGGTTATTTTGTTGATTACGCTGAGGTGGGAAGACCCACCCACTGTATGTGGTACCATTCTTGACTAGGATCCTGGATTGCAGATATGGAGAGAAACAGACAAGCAGCAGCACATACACACTTCTGTTTCCCAACTGTAACTCAACTAGATGCTTCAAGCTTCTGCTGCCTTGACAGCCCTGACCCACCATAATGACTGTACCTTGAACTGTGAGCTTAAAGAAACCTTCTTCCTTAAATTGCTTTTGTCAGAGGACTTTATCATAGCCACAGGAACTAAGTCAAATATAAAACCATATTTATACAGAAAAGGAAAAGATGTCAGTAATATCAAAGGATAGAGAGTAGAGAAAGAACAAAAGGTGTGACTCATCATAATCACTAGACAAATTTGTATTTGGTCCCCACTGGGTGGTTTTAGGGAAAATAAACAGTAGAATCATTTATTGCTCCTAGAACATGCCTAGCACACAGTAAAAAACTGGTTAACAGGTGGAGTACATAGCACCACTTTTGAAAGGGGGCCCAAGTTCAGTTCCCAGCAAATTCATTTCATTAAGTACCTCACAAATGCCTGAAACTCTAGCTCATGGGGCTCAACTCAACTCACTTCTGGCTTCCATGGACACTACAACCACATGCACAAATACATACAAATACATACTTAAAAATCAAAAACAGGATCTGATAATGATTTCACAAACTAAAAGTACTTCCAGACAAAACAATGATAAACACAGCAAAAAAAAAAAAAAAAGAGTGGGGAGTGGTAGCACACAAGCAATACAGAATGAAGGGGGGGGGAGAGACACACCAAAGTTGTATCTCCAACACAGAAACAAAGCTACAATACACACATTCCATACATTCAACCTTTAATAAATATCTAACTGCATGCCATCACATGACTTATAGGGAATATAAGTCATGTTATGGGAACTATAGGAAAGCTATTCAGCCTTACCTACTAATATGCTGTACTTTATGCCATGTCAGTTTTGACTCCAATTTTCGGTGTGCAAGAGCAATTACACGGAAGCCTTGTTTGGTATAATCTTCTAAAACTTTCTCAAAATCAACTGGAACTTTTAAAAATAAGAGGAAATTTAATTTTAGAATTGCTACTGTTAAGTTCATATAAACATCAGAGTTTTACCCAGAGCCTAGTTATTTCCTTACCTGTTTCAGGTTTACAAAGACTGGCAATGACCTCAGGGGCTCCTTTCATGTAGGCATCCATTTTCTTGTCGCCTAGTACCCTTGCAACCACACTCATCCGTTGTAAAGCAGAAGAAAATGGGAACTGTCGAACAATTCCTATCTCATAAATAGCCTATTTAATTTCAAAAAACGCACAAAGGATTTATTATTCTTTAAGAATAAAAGCAAATAAAAGTACTTATCTAAGAAGAAAGCATTCTTCACTTACTGGAAGTTCAAACAGCTCCTAAAAACAAGAGAATGAAGTACAGATTAATATATACCAGCTGGAAGAAAAAGAACACAAAATACATTTATATACAAAAGCAGAGCAAGGGGTCTGGAGATGTGGCTCAGAAGTTAAAAGCACTGGCTGCATTTTCAGAGGACCTGGGTTTGGTTTCTAGCAGCTATGTGGTACCACCCCAGTACCAGGGGATCCAACATCTTCATCTAACTTCTGTGGGCACCAGGAAACAACATGAAACTTTTTGAGTACCAAGAGTCCCTCTATAACACCTCCCATGAAATTCAAATGCTGTCTGTCACAGTGTAGCTTTATGGTATGACCACCTGGGTAGAATGCCTATGGCCCAAGCTTCAATTCCTAGCACAGGAGGGCAGGGATAAGGTGGAAATTCATTTTCAAAATTCTGGAATTACAAAAATACTAACACATTAAGTGCTAAAATGAATGAGAGGAACATTGAAAATTCCTTTATAAATTCTTTAATGCAATTCTAGGGATACAAACGTACTAAAAAGATTAACTATCACATGTGTAAGTGGCAAAGAACAGAAGGGCCCTAGAATTAAATTTCAACATTTTACAGAGAATGTCCGTAGCACACCAGGGGTAATCTTTCTGATAAACTCAGTCAAAACGCCTTTATCTGCCAGGTGGTGGTAGGACACACCTATAATCCCAGCACTTGGAAGCAGAGGCAGGAGGATCTCTGTGAGTTTGAGGCCATCTTGGTCTACTGGAGTTCCAGAACAGCTTCTGAAGCTACAAAATAAACCCCGTCTCAGAAAAAAAACAAAAACAAAAGCCCACCTGGATCTATCTGCAGGCGATAAAATACCTGACTCCCTTTCCTAGAGGTACTTCCAACTAGAATTAAAAGTGAGATCATACCATTTCTTGGTTTCCTGAAGCTGTAGATTCAGGAAGCAGCTGTTTGGAAGGACGAACCACAGTGGGCATAATCCGGTTATGAAGTGCTGTTTCTTCTTCAGTTGCTTCTTCCAAAATCTAAAAGGAAAACATCCAACATAATCACACAGCTCCATACTCATTTCATTTTTTAAGTGGGCCATTAAAAAAAAAAGCAACTGTTGCCAAAGGACATGCGAACACTAAATTATTAACATAAATAAACATAAGAAGAGCTTGAGGGGAGAAAGAACTTGGAAGTATAATAAAGGAGCAAATATGAAGCTTGCTACTCTTCAGAATGAGCTGGAGGCACATGGTTGTTACTTTTTAAGACTTTTACCCCATAATACAAGGATTTCTTTTCTGCCAAAAAATGATACAGGTGTACACTTATAATCCCAGTACTCAAGAATACCTTATCAAAAGAATCAGAAGTTTAATGCTAGTCCAGGCTATCTAGTGAGCCTGAGATCAACTTGGACTACATGAGGGTTTTTCAAGCCTAGACAGAGTTAAGACCTACTAAGCAGAAAATAGGCTGTACTAGTTAGTGTTTTTAGAGCCATACCATGAAATCATAAACAGTTAAGCTACTATAATCATAACATATTTTCATGTTTTTAAAATTTTATTTATTTTGTGTATGGCTATTTTACCCAAACATATAACCTGTAAAAGGATGTGTGTACCTTGTGCCAATAAAGGCCAGGAGAGGGTATGGGATCACTGGGACTGGAGTTACAGACAGTTCTAAACTGCTATGTGGCACTGGGAATTGAACCTAATATTCTGAAAGAAAAGCCAGTGCTCTTAAGCACTGAACCATTTCTCTAGCTCTCAACTTTACTTAAAAACATTTTTTTTTCCTGTGTACAATGACTCAGGGATTCCTCTGCAGACCTGATTATTTGCTTTTGATTTTGAGAGTCCCACAGTTGAAGAAGAAAACCAAACACATACAACAATAATAATGCAGAGGTCGGAGAGGGAAGGGGGAAAAAACAAAACAAAACCCTACAACTTCAAAGAGACCAGGGGTTGAAGCTCAGCGGCAGATTATGTGCCTGGCACGAACATGCCACCAAAGCTCAAGCAAAAGTCTGCACTAAATACACATGACACATGTACTAAAGCTGAGCTAATTTGACTCAGTAACTAGAGGAATTCAATGAAAAACATGAGGAAAACTTTTAAACAATTAAATTTACACAATTCCACAAGACACTTTCCCACATCTGACCGTCTCAGAAATTAGGATGTATCTTACTGTCCTATGATTAGTTTTAGTCAAGTTTATGAAGAGGAAACCACAACCACAACAACCACAACAACCACAACAACCACAACAACACCACCAAAATGCTCCCTCCAGACTAGCCTGTGGGGCATTTTCTTGATTAATGATTGATGTGGGTGGGAGGACCTATCCCCTATAGATGTGGGTGGGAAGACCTATCCCCTATTGATGGTGCTACCCCTAGGCAGGTGGTCCTGGGTATTATGAGAAAGAAAACTGAAGCCAGATCTAGTGCCACACACTTAGTCCCAGTGCTAGGGAGGCAGAGGGATGTGGATCTCTTAAGTTTAAGGTCAGCATGGACTACATAGTTCCAGGACAACCAGGGCTATGTAGAGACATCCTGTCTCAAAACACCAAGCAAAAACATAAATACAAACAAACAGGCTGAGCAAGCCCTGGGGTACAAGCCTGTAAGCAGTACTCTTCCATGGCCTCTGCTTCAGTTCAAACCTCCAAGAAGTTCTGGTTTTGAGTTCCTATACCAACTTCTTTAAATGATGGATGCCATGTGGAACTGTACAAACTCAAACTCTAACCCCCCCTAAGCTGCCTTTGGTCATGGTATTTACCACAAGCACAGAAATCCTAACCAAAACTGAAATGAGTACCAGGCTGTGGGATATTGCTATGGCAGACCTGACCATGTTTTGGAGAGGATTGTGGAAGGACTTTGGAGCTTTGAGCTACAAAATGCACTGAGTGCTCAGAGCTCAGTGAGTGGTGGTGGGAAGGGGGTCTGTCTGTCTTGTGAAGATTCAAAGGGCCATTTATGTAATATTTTTTAATTAAGAATCTGTGGTTCTGGTCATTTGAAGCCTTCTGGGATTATTTCCTCAGGGTCAGCACATGATATAGTCCTGGCTGGGCAAGGCTGCATCTCATGCTGATATCCCACAATGGTAATGTGTTAGAATCACATAGGTGATACTTGTTTGGAAGACATGAAGGGGATCAGGAAGAGCAGCTGAGGCTTGTCACTGTGTTGGAGTTGAAGTCTTGGGGGAGAGGAAGGAAGAAGCTACCGGTAAAAATATACAGCCTGGCACCACATAAACAGAGTGTAGGGGCTCTTGCCAGTACTCAGGAGGTAAAAGCAGGAGAATATCCTCAGCTATATATATCCTACAACAACACAAAAACCCTGTTTCAAAACAAAAAGGAAAACCTTACCCATCCAATGGCTTCAAACATTTTCAAATCCAGTGGGTCACCAGAAAGAATGCCTTCAATTTTTGTAAGTGAATGACAAGTAGCCATGCAAGCAACAAATTGAGATTTTACCAACATCTCACTACAAACATTGTCTTCTGGCAAAAGAAATCTAAACAGAGAATACACACCGAATTAGGTTTGCAAATCTCTAGACTCAGCCCAACATTCTAACACACCTTTCCAAGTTTGTAACTAGGCCTGGTGGAGAACCAAGGAGTTCATGATCAGACTGAAAATTACATGAAACCCCATCTGTAAATAAATATTTTATGCTGGGTGCAGTGGTATAGGCAGAGAAGAGGCAGAGGACAAAGGATCAAGAGTTCAGTCCATACAATGAATAATATAGCACTGCTGCCTTAAAACCCACTGAAGGTTGGGGTTCAGCACACTGAAGGTGGTGTCAGGGGGAGCAATGGGGCAGAGGGATGAATTAGAACAAAGCAATATATATATATTCATATATATATGAATGAAAAAGCCATAATGAAATTTATTAGTTTGTATGCTAACTGAAAACAATTAGTTAAAGACAGTTCACTTTGGGGTAAAGGTGCTTGCCCCAAAAACCTGATGAGCCACCATGTCTGTCTGACAATCTGAGCCTTAGTTCTAGCCCCACGTGCTGGAGGACAGGAACCCACTCCTACAAGTTGTGCTCTGACTATATGCCCACACCTGCCTACACATACACATATACGCACCATAAAATTTAAAAGCTATTTGAAACATATATATAAATCTAGCTAATATTTACCGGGTATTTTCCACTCGCTGAATTCCCCACAGATCTAAACCATCTTCGGTAAGAGTTCCAGTCTAAAATAAAAAGGTACACAAGTGAAAAGGACGGACAATACTTCACAAAAAAGAAAATAAAATGCTAAGACTCAAATCAGTAACAACTATGCTACATATACACAGTGGGGAGGCAGGAGCTCGTAACTGCCAGGGAAACGGTACAAGAGTACCTGCACTATGACTCCTTTAAGCACAGGAAGTCACCTACCTGCATTAACTACACTCACTCATGTACTGCCACCATAAACTAAACGCACCAGTTAACCTACCTACCCACCAACAAGCAGCGTCTGCTGGTGTAATGGAGGACAGCACAGAGTAGGGGACAAGGAGCCAAGAAGAAAATGTAAACACAAAAAGAAAGCTAATAGTTAAACCCAGGGTAAAAAAAGAAAAGAAAGACTGGTGTTCAAAAAATGGTTGAGGATTCAACAAAATCATAGACATTAACATACACATACTTATGAGCAATTTTTAAAAAATCATAGTACATATTCACAGAGGCTATTCTATCACATTAGAATTACCTAAAAATACAAAACATCATATAATTTTTATTCATTACCACTATATCGTAAGAGTTTTAAATCTTTTAATTTGTTTTTATGTGTATAACTGTTTTGTCTGCATATACATCTGTTCATCCTGTGCATGCCCGGTGCCCCTGGAGGCCACAAGAGGGCACCAGATGGTTGTGCGGTACCATGTGGGTACTCAAACTCAGGTTCTCTGGTCCTCTCTGCAAGAATAGTCAGTGTTCTTAAACACTGAGCATCTCTGGCACCCATATATCTTAAATTATTTACTAGTAGATATTGAGGCAGAGTCCATGTTGCCCAGATGGCCTAGAACTTGTGGGCTCAAGCTATCACCCTGCCTCACTGTCCCAGATGCTAGACCTACAAGCATACATATCCCTGAAAAGGTGGGGGGAGGGAAGCTGGAGATGGCTCACTGGGTTAAGAATATGGGCTACTCCAGCCCCCTGTCTATCAGCACCAAGAGTAAAATGACCTTCCTGTTTGCCAACCTGGGGGGAAAAAAAAAGAAAAAGAATATGGGCTACTCTTCCATAAGACCTGGGTTCAATTTCCCAGCACCTACATGGTAGCTAGAAGAGGGGTCCTCTTCTAGCCTGTGGGCAGTGCACACACATGTTATATAGACAAAGATGCAAGTCAAATACCCATGCAGATTAAAACAAACAAACAATGAGCAAGGGGGCCAGGCAAGATGGTGCATGCCTTTAATTCCAGTGCTCAGGGGGGCAGAGGAAGGCAGCTTTCTGTAAGTATGAGGCAGACTTGGTCTACACAAATGAATTCCAAGCCAGCCAGGGCTATATAGTGAAAACCTGTTTCAAGAAAGAGAGGGGGGAGAGTGGATTTCAAAATGTGCACATGCTAAGTAACTGGGAAAGAGGGAAAGTACAGAAACATTAAAAATAAAGGCAGATTAATTCATAAAAGTAAATACAAACGCAAATATTTAAAAGTAACACAATAATGATTATGAAGCCAAACCAACCTTGTCAAAGCAAACAAGATTCAGCTGTCCACAGATATTTATCCTTTGGGGACTGATACAGAAAATCCCAACTTTTTTCAGCCTTCTCTGAGCATATACAATTCCAGCAGTCATTGCAGCAGGAAGTGCAGGTGGTACAGTAATAGTAATGATATCAAGAGACTTAATAATTATTTCCTGAACTTCTTTCTACAATTAACATAAAAATAAACGTCAAACTCACAATATTTACTAATATAATGAAAAATAAACACTATCGTTTTGTATTTATGTTTAAGTATATACATACATGTTATTGACATAATTTCTTCAAAGATTTTGTAAAAGGGCTGAAACATACAACTGGTAGCCTCGCATATTTAAGGTCCTAGATTAAAACCCCAACACTTGTGTGGAATTCTTAACCAACATAAGATTCAATCAGCTATCCAATGAACTGACAGAAAAGAAGCTAAAGGAGACAAGTATTTATTCTTAGGAATACTTGTCTCATTCTAACAGCTTGCATCCTTCACATGACTACCTTCAAGTTGAACAAACTTTATCTGATACTCTCCCATCCTACAAGCAACTGGACAATTTCCCAGAAGCTAGGGGGTAAAAAAAAAAAAAAATCAGGCATAGTCTCTTACATGTGCTTTCAATTAAGTGTTCAGAAATAATTTTGGTAAGCCAGGAATGGTGGTGCACACCTGTAACCCCAGCAGAACAGAACATAGCTAAATACGACAGGTTATTATTGTATATATTATTTTAATTCATTCCACAAATAAGAATAGGCTTTTTTTGGTGCACACTTCACATCATATAAATGAAAAGTACCAGACATTTTGAAGAATTATATGCTATGATGGAAATGTTTTATACTTGCAGGGGTTTTGTTGTTGAGACGGGTCTTGCTATACAGCCCAGGATGGCCCAGAACTTCCAATTTTCCTGCCTAGGCCACCCAATATAATTTTGCTTTCTAATATAATAGATACCAGTATCATAGTTTTCTTCAGAAATTCAGAAATTTCTTCAGAATTAAAATTAACGTCAACCACATGTGAAATAATTAAGAACCAAACCTAGGAAAGTTACATACCTGATTTAAAATGCTATTTATGATTGTGAAGATAAAGCCAATGCCAGCCACCACCACAAGACACAGCAGAAACAAGTAGGCATCTCTATAGAGTTTAAAATCAGTTGGCTTGGGATACAGAATAGAACGAACAAGCTGTCCTTTGGAAGTACTAAATCCTTTCAAAAATTAAAGAGGAAAATTACTTATCTTTCTATAAGAATTACCTCCCCAATCAGAATCCCTCTATAAATATCCAGTAGGTTTCAACTTTGAAAGAGACATTATCTACCTGTTCTAACTACTATGGCTTTCACAAGTTCTCCAGTGTAGAAACGAGTCTGAATAACAGTTGTTCCACAAAACAGGGTGTGCCGCTTGTGTGTCTCTGGACTGTAATACTCCTCCCCAGTTCCTTTTATATCCACTGAAGGATTTGGCAAGTTAGTCTTTGTCACTGGAACACTTTCCCCTGTTAAGAAAATCAAATGTTAAAGGAAAGCTTAAAAAAAAAAAAAAGAAATATTTTAACTGTTAATAGTATCCTTTATAATAGTTAATAACTGCTCTATATATGGACAACATGGTGTAACCAATCAGCTTTTTGTCCATCAATTGGTTCACTGAGAAATACCAGGCCATTTCCCACAGAAATAATGCCTGCCATTATTTGAAAATTGTTTTTACTGACCTTCAAAAAAAATTCAAAAACCAAGGAACACATTCTTAAGAGCAAAGAGAAAAAGTACTGTTACTTTCAGTAACCAGTAATGTCATGACACCTTTAACCACCACTAGACAGAAACACACCACACTAACAGAAAATCTGAGCAAGGGAGAAAGAAAAAGAATGACTATTATGAGGGTCTTTTTGTAATTTAATTCTCTATAGCATTTACATTTCTTTCAAAGATTGTATAAATATATGTGTGACATTGTGTGTTTTCAGTCTCATAGTATAGTATGTAGGAAATAATTTCTAACCAGATTTAAAACTCCACAATTTTAAAACCAAAAGATCTACTCCTAGATTGTGAATTTCCAGTAGTTTCCTTAAAGTCTTATTTATTCCCACTTTTTACATAATGAACACAGAAGCAAATACGTTGTAACTCTGTAGGCATGAACTTCTTTCCTCTTCACTTACTATAAAATTTTTCCCCATGTCCAAGGAGTGGCAAGAAGCAGGTCGAGGAATGTGGTCAATACCAAAATAGTGATTTAGCACTAGTTTTTAGCTCAGAATGTAGTAGTCTACTCACACACACAAAATCACTATCAATCACATTTATGAGTAAATGATAGAAATGATAGGATTTTGAAAAAGCTTAAACTTCTTAATACCATCATAAACACTAGCCATATTTGTGATTCCATTTACCTGTTAACATGCTTTCATTCACAATGCAAGTACCATTAATAAGGACTGCATCACAAGGCATGACTGTCCCATTTAATGGAATGATCATGACATCTCCCGGCACAAGGTCTGTAGAAAATATTTCTTCTATTTCTGAATTTGAAAAAAAAAAAGAAGAAATTATTCTTTATTTTGGAATAAAAACACAGCAAACAAACAAACGACTTATCCAAAAGTCTCCTGCCACCAGTAAGCTACTGATACAGTGGGTTAATACCAAAACTGTATTACATGGAGAGTCCCAACAAACAGGACTAACATTAACACACCATCAAGGCTGGAGAGATAGCTTATGGGTTAAGATCACTGGCTGTTTTTCCAGGAGACCTGAGTTCAATTCCCAGCATCAACATTGAGGTTTACAACTATCTGTAACTCCAGTTCCAGGGAATCTGATACTCTATTCAGGTCTCCATAGGCACCAGGCATCAAGGTAAGTCAGCTAGCTTGTCTCCTGACAAGATGCTGACTAAGCATACATAATATCATGTCCTTACACTTCCATACTCAATTTTGGCTATCTGCCATCTTAAAATACAAGCATAAGTCCACACAGGAAATTCTGCTGAAATAGGCAAAGAAGTATTCTTTTCTTACTGCAATTTATGTCTTAACCATTCTCAATGTTTTAGTCTTTTAAATTATTAAAAATACAGCAAGCTAAATTGGTTAAATATATAATATTGCTTAATTCATTATTTCCCTGAAAATTTAAATCAGGTATTGAAATCCCAGCATTTAGAAGGATGAAAAGCAAAAAGATCATGAATTTGAGGCCAGCTTAGCAAGACCTTCTCGAAGGTCTTCATACATGTAGACTTAAAAACCTTCAAGCTGGGTGTGGTGGCTCTTTCCTGAAAAAGTACCAAAGCTATTAGGCTGCCTAGCAAGTTTTTGTAGCAGCAGGATCATAGGTTCAAGGCTATCCCTGATATATAACAAGGTCTAGGCCAGCCTGTGCTGTTGTAATACAGAAACAAAACACACACAGAAAGAAACTTTAAAAAAAATAAAAAAAAATAAAATCCTACCAAAAATAAATAAGATGGCAGCAAGTGTGGGAGATTCTAGTGAGAGAAGGAAGTGACTGGGAAGGAAGCGAAGTGAAGGGAGTTGGGGGATAAGAAAATGGAAAATACAAAAAATGAAGACTGATTTTGAATTCTGGAGAAATCAAAGTGGTTACTGCCTCCAAAGACCTCATTTCTTCAGTATCTCAAACAGCTCATACATTCCATGTACTCTTCTTACGATCATTGCTTCCTTTTTACTAAGCCCCATGTAACAACACTAATATCCATCTACCCAGCTGCATAGATCTGAGACCTCACTTTCAATTATCACCAAATCTTGTTCAATGCCCACATTTTAAACCCATGTCCTTTTTTTTGCTAACTCTACAGTGCTGTTCTTGATCCAGAAGATGCCTTCAGTGTTGCTTCCTGATAAGCCAGTCTAAACATGGAAGCCAGAATTACTAGGGTTTTTTGTTTGTTTGTTTTGCTAAGGACAAACAGGATGGGATCTGCTTAAAGCCCTTTAGAAGAAATCAGTCTTAACTTCAGGCCCCTGGGTGCTTAATATCCTCTCCTCTTCTGTCTTTAATTTGGCTAACTGAAATAGTCATTCTTAGACTTCAAAAAGTCTACCTGAAGACTTAAAGCACTAATGTTAAAGGCTCACTGTGCCCTCACAGCACTCATCACGCTTTGCTGTTGGTTATCATGCTTCCCTAGAGCTTAGCAAAGTGCCTCTACACTATATAAAATGATACTTACAACGTTATGTAAAGGAATGAACTGCCCACAAATCCAGGAATCTAAATGTGTATTTTCAATTCTGAAGAAGGAGAAAGAAGGAAGGAAGGGAAAAGAAGAGGAAATAATAATAGGGCTGATAAGGTGGCACAGAATAAAGGTGCTTGCCACCAAGCCTAATAATGACCATAGTTCAATCTCAGGATCCATGTGGTACAAAGAGGAACTCCCATGGGCTGTTTTCTGATTTCCATACATATGCCACTGCACACACATACAATTAAATAATGTAATTTAAAAACATGCATATACACATACAAAATGATCTTTCTTTACAATGAGCATTTAATTGGATGTTTCATGTTCGTTCACTTTTTCAACCCTCAATGGAAGTACTTACCTTCATTTACTCTACAAACTGAAACTCTCACGGTACTATGAGTTGCCACCATGTCATGTAACATAACATATTGCTGAAAGAAAAAAGAAATTAAAAACTAATAATACAAATCTGTTCAAGATACTTGGAAAAAAAAGTTCAATTACTGCGATCAATTTTTACTGTTCTGCCTACATAAAAGGTCCAAAATCAAGAGATAGGGAGATTACTCAATAGCTAAGTGCTTTCTACTTGTGGTTTGAATGAAAATGGTCCCCAAAGGCCCATAGGTGTGGTCACTGGGGTTTCAAATGCTCAAGTCAGACCCAGTGTTACTCTCTCTTCTCTCTTCTGCTGATGGAGATGTAGAACTCTCAGCTACCTCTCCAGCACCATGTCTGCTTGCATGCTACCATGCTTCCTGCCATAATGACAATGGACTAAATCTCTGAACTGTAAGCCAGCCCCAATTAAATATTTTCTTTATAAGAGTTGCCATGGTCATGGTGTCTCTTCACAGCAATAGAAACCCTAATCAAGACATGACTCAAATTCAGATCTGAGCACCTATGTGAAAGCTAAATGGGCATGGCAGTCTGCCTATAATTTTAACACTCAAAAGGCAAAGACAGGGAATTTCAAGAGCAAGCTGGCTAGCTGAACTAGTTCAGTGAGCGACCTCTGGGTTCAAATGAAACCCTACCTCAAGGAATAAGGCAAAAAACAATCCAAGACAACTGCACTCACATGTGAACACATCCATGTACATACCCAAAAGTTAGGAATCCAAGAATTACTGTTTTAGCTCAAAACAAAGATATACTTTAAATGAGCCAGCCTTGCAAACAATGGAATTATCTTTCAATACTTCAGTTTTTAATAAGCAGATACAGATGCCTACAACTTCTGAATAATCATGTAGGAATTGATTATACAAACATCTAAGAGTGTAGATCAGAGAGCATATGCAGTCTTAGGCTCAAACTCCAGTAGCACAAAAAAAATAAATATTTGATCCCTCCTACCCCTTCCGCCACCCCCCCCAAAAAAAAACCCTAGGGCTAAAGAGATGGCTCCACTGTTAAGATCACTGCCTACTCTTCCACAAGACCCAGGTTGATGCGCATCACCCACACAGTTGATCACAATTATTTGTAACTCTAGTCTCAGAAGGATCCAATAATCTCTTCTGGCCTTTGCACAGGGACACCTGTGTTGCACTGACATAAATGCAGGCAAAACACCAGAAAGGCCTCCAAAGGTCAAGCATAAAGCAGGAGGATTGGTTAGCTATAAAGGCTAACCTAGCTACCTTGTCTAAACAAACACAAAAGAAATTTGTATGTGTACTTACGAAAATATAACATTAAATGTACTTTATACTGAGTACTATGTATTATTCTACAAACCTTACAAGTTATTACAAAATGCAAATATATTTCTGAAATATGAAATAAATTCTGACTTACCTTCCTAATGGAATATAGTGAGCTTATAATGGATACTATGGACATAATCACAATGGCTAGAGCATAGTAATAATATTCATCAATGCTCCACAAGATAACACTGAACAGCTGGAAAATGTAAAATGGGTTTAGAACCTAAAAAATAAAAAAGGATACATTAACAGCCAAAAATGGAGTAAGATATATATAAACACCAGTTCACTAGAGCAATAGATAAGCACAAAGGATGAGCTCTGTATTCTTGCTTCCCATTAAATACTAAAATTTGAACCAATAAGCTTAAATTATTTGCATTCATGCCAAACCCAAATACAGATTCAACTAGAAAAGGCTAACCCGTAAGAATTCAGATGTTCATCGATATACTTTGTTAAAGTAAATTTATTGGTAATAAATTCCATGCTCTGGGCTAAAACATAAAAACTTTTTTCAACCAGAACAAATTGTTTATTTTGTAATGAACTCAAAGGATGAATTCAAAAGTTCATTGCCATACAAAGAAAAGATAAATATGTGATAAAATGGGGAAACTGCTTTGCTACCTCCAAGGAAACATCTCAGGATTTAATCTCAAATAAAAGTAATATTAGAAAGCCCTGGTGATGAATTTTATGAAATGGTATTTCATCTTCCTTAATTTCCTCCCAATGTCTTTACAACTGCTGTTTTTGTGCTTTTTAAAGCACTTTCAAGTATGCAATACCATTTTACTCAAACCCAAATGAAATACTAAAAAATCATTCCAACTTTATCCCCAAAGGAGTAGCAGGTAGAAATGTTTTCTTTAAAAAGAAAGAATCAAAGACAGCTACTAATTAATACTCTCAAAGTATGGGGCTTCCTATATTTGTTTATTGTGTTTTTTCGAGACAAGGTTTCTCTGGGTAGCACTGGCATTCCTGGAATTCACTTTGTAGACTAGGGTAGCCTCAAACACACTGAGAGATCCGCTTGCCTTTGCCACTCAAGTGCACCACCGCTGCCTAGAAGTTCTTTTGATCCTAAACTTTTTAGTTAGTGCAATAACCTACATTTGCAGGCAGCATTAAATGGCTATTCTAAGAAACTCGTGGAGAACAATCATGTTTCTAGTAAAGTATCCACCCAATACACGTTTTTATCTATAACTAAAAACCAAAACAAAAAGGACAGACAAGCCTTCCTCTTCTAGGCAGTTACTCACCAACTTCCTTTACATAGTCATAATCCTTTATTCATACAGCTAAGGCAGTTATAAATGAACCCTCACTGTAAGAACTAACATGCTTCCTTTCATTTCCAGTATGAAATGAAGAAAGGAATAAAGGGAGTGAGAAGTTACATACACTTATAAGATAGAAGATTTAGACATGATAACATACTCCCCACTTTTAAATATGAAGCAAAATTAAGGAGCAGAAAAACCATGAATATCTTCTTACACATGACTCTTTCCCAATTGATGAATCTACTGCTGAGTTACATACAAGTCTTACCTCTTTAATTAGAAGCTTAAAAACAGAAGGCACTTTCACAGCAATTTCATTTACTCCATAAAGCAACTTTCTATGACAGAAAAATATAATAACTGTATTAATAATATGATTTAGAAAAGGAATTATGTTAAGATATAATTAAAGCCAATCGTGCTTAGAGTTGTGGTTTTAAAATAGTATGTTTCATGACTAAAGTTTTCTATTTTAAAAAATAAAAAGCTGCTGCTGGGTGGTGGTGGCACAGGCCCTTAATCCCAGTACTCAGCAGAGGCAGGAGGATATCTGTGAGTTTCAGGCCAGCCTGGTCTATGGATGGAGTTACAAGTTAGCTATGTGAACACACACACACACACACACACACACACACACACACACACACACACACAAGTCTGAAAAAAACAAAAATACTAAATAAAATAAAAAGCTATCTATGCTATTTAAATCAAAGGAGTCAATAATAGGAACCAAACTTTTAGCAGTTTACATCATTTTGCCTCCCATTTTTACTGTGACAAGTATCTTTCTGAGTAGTCAATAATCATGTAAGCAAAATACTCACTTTGTTATGTCTAGACTGTCCTGAAACTTAATATATAGCTCAGGCTGCCTTCAAACTCACAGGAATCTTCCTGTCTCAGATTTCCAAGTGCTGGAACTATGGGTGTGAGCCACCACAAATGGCTAAAAATGATAGAGAGATAGAGATAGAGAGAGAGAGAAAGAGAGAGAGAGAGAGAGAGAGAAGAGAGAGAGAGAGACAGAGAGAGACAGAGAGACAGACACAGAGAGAGACAGAGAGAGAGAGAGAGAGAGAGAGAGAGATTTTTATGTCATGTCCATGGGTAGCCTATCCATATCCATGCATCACATGCATGCAAACCCAAGGAGGCCAGGGGAGAACACTGGATCCTCTGGAAATGGAATTACAGACAGCTGTAAACTGCCACATGGGTACTAGAAACCAAATCCAGGTCCTCTGAAGAGCAGTAAGTGCTCTTAACCACCAAGACATCTTCTCCAGCCCCAAACAGAGCAAACTGTAATAAGATTTAAATAAATTACAACTAATTTTTGTAAGAAATTAACTTTATTTGAAGAATCTCACCCTATTTTTTTCTAGGGATAATACTTAACTAAGGAAGTTCATTTCAAAACTCTGCACATTTGAAATCTTTTAGAAAACAACACTTAGAGTTGCTTAGAGACTGGGGATGCTGCCCCACTAACAAAGTGGCTGCCAACCTTGCACAAGGCCCTGGCTTCAATTCCAAAGGATTGTATATACCAAGCATTGTGTGGTGCCTCCTTGGAAGCCCAGCGCTTGGGAAGGAAATGTAAGATCAGGAGTTCACATCCAACCTTGGCTACACATTGAGGCCTTGTCAAAAACAAAACAGGGGGCTCCTCAGTGCAGAATATAAAGTGCTTTCCTAGTCCAAGGCCCTGAATTCTACCCTATTCCCTGGTCCCTCTAAAACCTTAGGTTCTTCATTTTAATCTCTTGTAAGAGTATGCTTTCTGTGCTGTTATAACTATAGCCTTTTCTAAGGTGTTAAATCTGAATGATTTTTTTTTGTTCAAACATTGAAAACCATTATTACAATAGTACAAAATTTTCCAGTGCAATCTACAAACTACATTTAGCTTTAAAATATACACTAGCATATTTTCCATTTCTGTTACTTTACAGAACACACCATTATCTTACATGTGACTGAGGATGACATTCCACCCACTAAAATACAACCCAATTTCAGAGAAAGGAAAATGTGGGAAATTTTGCATCTTAGAACTGATGAAGTATTTAAACTTTAGGGATATTAGCTTAACATTTTTATAATTCTCTAACGGAGTTTTGCTCAAATTCTCAGTAAGGGCACAACTAACAGTATTGCTATTTTATTTAAGTACCTATATTACATGGTAGAGAGTTGGCTACATATATACTTCTAAATTTAGGAATTTTGAGAACACATCTACTGTAGTTGGATAAAGTTACCTGTAGGCATGCATCCCCTTTGTCAGTCCTGCACTATGCTTTTCATAAATTGATGTACAAGAAACACCTTCATCCAGTCCCCTAAATAAATCCAAAGTTTTAACTTTAAACAAAGTTTAAAATATCCAAATTTATTAATGCCTCATTTTGCTATATGCGTGATTTTAAAACTGTAACTTCCTTACAAACTTCTGAGAAATTTGTAACAAAAATATAAATCATGAAAATTTTAAAATATCAAAGTCTAACAATAATGAATGGTCTAAGTCTCAAACATAACTATGTTATCCACTGTATTTGTCATGGCTCTAAATAATACTATATAAATAAATGTACATAGTAGCAGTATCCTTCAACAATCAAACTAATAAAACTTAAGATTAAAGTATAACTAATAAGAATCAAAACTAAAGATTTTTTTTTAGTTTTTATCCCATTTCTTTATAGTTTTAAATTAAGAAATCATATTCACTGTCTTCCACAATGCACCAATATAAATTCTTTCCTGAACCATTACATACCTAGTTTCAAAGTATAGAATTTACAGTCATAAATGTCTAAGAAAGACCTAGAACAATCCTAACTAGGATCCAAATAACATATTTGCTTTCCCTCCAAAAAAATCATAATTATACTTATTTTAACTGACACCAGCCAAATTATCTCCAAAGCAAAGAGAATTAAACATTAATCTACTCATTCTCTACATTTTACATATAAAAAAAAACTATGCTCTACAATTTGTTGATGTCATTAGGGTAAGTTTAAATTTTACAAATTTCAATGGCTGACAGAGACCAAAAAAACAATTACATTAAACATTCTTCCCACCAGAGCTTACTTCTCCAGAATACAGTGCAAAGACAGACAAACAACTAAGTGTTTGACAAGACTGCAGGACATTGGCAGTTTTCCTTAAAGCAATGGTTCTTCAACCTTAGAACCAGGTATGAGAAAACCATCAGGCCCATTCCAGAACATTGTAATTCTTTAGTATTTTCAAGTAAGCATTCCAGGTATTAAACATTTTTGACTCTTGTTTTTACTGTTAAGACTTACTTCTCTGGCATTCTAAAACAATATTTAATGAGTGTTTAAAATAACAGTAGACTAAAACAGGAAATTGGATACAAAGTGAGCAAAATAACAAGACCCCATCTTTTAAAGAAAGCCTAAATCATAGTATTTGTATAACTTGAACTGTACACAATAAACAAAATAAGGGATTGCTCCAATTTGTCCTATCCAGAGCTCTTTTTCATCAAGACAGTAAAGTTTTATAACTATGCATTACATGGTTCTCTGATTACAAATGGATGGGACTAACAACAGGAAGAAAAACATATGAGTTTGGGTTTGGGTTGGGGAGTAGGGCTCAATGGTAGAGTCACTGCTTATTAGCATGTGTGAGTCCCAAATTCAATACTAAGCCCAGTGCACACCAAAAATAAAGTAAAACAATAACCACAACAATCAAGTAGAAAACCCAAGCTGTGAGGTATACTAAAATTCATGCACCTCAGCCTCCCTAACTGCTGGATCACTGGTGTGTACCATAGCCAAGCACTTAGCTTTCTCCAAATATTTCCAAGGTACAAGTTGCAGGTGAATAAAAAGTAAGTGAATAAAAGTAATAAAACAAGTTAAGATACAGCCTCTTTTACTAAAGCATTTAAGATATTCAGAGTATATTCCAAGCAAAAGAAAGATACTTACTTTAAGAAATCAAAATTGTGAATGGTATCATCCCAGAAATATTTTATGCTATGGTGGGTGAAATAACGAATCTGTAGAACACACATAAATATTACATCAAAAGGCTTATCTTCACTTCTTATAGTTTTTTCAAAACAGCTTTGATACTCATCACAGTACCTGTTGTGACTGAGTCTGTGAGTATTTATTCATCTCAAATCTATCTTCTACAGTCAGATTCTCAGTTAAATGAACAGCATGGCCATTAGAAACCTTATTAACTAAAGATTTTGCATTAAAATTTGGCTGATTTTCCAGATGGAGAAAGCGAATTTTTGCACAAAACCACATTTTAAATTCGTCCTTAGAAGAAAAGGAGAAAGGTCAAGTTAATTATGCATATTAAATAACTGCCTGTATTTTTATGTATGATCTAATATTTAAAAGTTTAGTCATCTCTTGCTGAGGAAGTATCACTTCCTACTCATTTAACATAAAAAATTTCTGATCAACTTTAGCACACTACCAGTACAACTATCAAAAGATTCCATAAAAGTTAACAATACCTTAATTTAATTAACATATATACTGAACATTAACTATTAAATCTTCTTATAAAATGTTTTCAACTAGGGTTCTAAACAAATTGCTTAAGACTGTAACATCACACAGTCAATATCTGGCCTAGTCAATGAGGGGTCTGTCTATCTACTAGCAGAACCTTAAAAGACAATTATCTATCTGATACCCTAGTCATAAAGAGCTGTAAGATAGCCTCATCAGATTTAAGAGTCTTTTTAACCTAATCGCCAGAACAGTATTCGCAAAGCCATATCTGAGAAATACTAAATATTCCAATGTCCCAGTAGCTTATTCTGAACAGTTTACACAAAGTCACTATTTACTCCTTGAATAATCAGCTACATGCATGGACTTACAGTAGTCCTGAGTAGCACCACTTCACAGTCTTTAACTGCAGCTCTAACACATGTGGCTTTCACTCGCCACTCAGGCATCCAGTAGAGGAGGAGGAGGAGAAAACCACCAGTACAAATCACTCCTATAGAAACCAGGGCAAGCTTCCATCGGCATAAGTTATAGCCATGTATCTCCTGCACAGAAATGGCAATCACACGATTAATGAGCAAATGATAAGGCAGATAAACATATATATTTGTATGTGTATGAATGTTTTGCCTATGTGTTTGTACACCTATGTGTTTGTATCAGGATGACACCTGTTAAGGCATTAAAATTAGTTGAAAGCCTCTATGTGCATGCTGAGAATCAAACCTAGGTCCTCTAAGCCAAATCTCCAGCCCCATTCCTTGTAACTTTTATCATTTCATTATTTTTTAAATAAGTCTTCCATAGGTTTTTAGAAAATAAAGCTTTTATTCTGCAACCATTTCAGACGCATCGAAGATGTAAAAATATCAGTGCTTCTTACAGACTCTCCCATCTAGTTTCCTCTGACCCTAACATATGGTGCTTCTGTCAAAGCCACACTGCTCCACTAGTGTCAACTATATTCAGTGTCATGATTTGACCAGTTTTTCTACTTACATATTGTTTCATGATACTACATTCACTGACTGACTAATTAAGTGCTGGTCATGATACAGTCTCACACAGGTAAGTGAAGTACCCAGTTTATTTATGGTCCTCCTCTGCCTCCTGCATCTAGGATTTCAAAGTATTACCCGCCCAGCACCACATTATGTTCAGATGGTTGTTTTTTTTTTTTTTTTTAAGTGACTTGCTAACTGTTCCCAAACCACTGTAATTGATCAACTTCTTCATTTCCTAATCCTAATTATTTCAAATATTCTTAAGTTCCCACCCACAATGGCTGTCAAATATAACATTTCAAACTGCTATGTAAATTTCAAATTAGTAGAAATATTTGTTTATCCTTTGCCAACATTCTTAACGTGTTGGTGACATATGCCTATGATCTCAGCACTTGGGGGAGGCTAAGTCAGGGGAGGGCTGTGAATCTGAGGTCAACTTAAGCTATAGCAAGGAAAAAACTTTATTCATCATTTTAAAGGCATCTATTTTACCTGACAAAAATTGAGAAGTTTTTTGTTTTATGGGTTTTTTGTTGTTATTGTTGTTTTTGTTTTTTGAGACAGGGTTTCTCTGTGTAGCTTTGGAGCCTATCCTGGCACTCGCTCTGTAGACCAGGCTGGCCACCAATGCCTTTAATTAAGCAAAACTCCTAAAAGTTGTCTTCTCACCTCCACCACATGCACACATGGACCTACATGTGCACACAAAAATAAGAAAACATACTTATTAATACATTTTTAAAAATAAACAAACAAGTTAGATGGCGGCGGCACGTGCCTTTAAGTCCAGGACTTAGGAAGCAGAGGCAGGTAGATTTCAGGGTTCAAGGCAAACCTGGTCTACAGAGTGAGTTCCAGGACAGCCAGGGCTACACAGAGAAACCCTGTCTCAAAAACTAAAAAAAAGAAAATAATAATTATAACAACAACAAAAACCACCTCAATTCAAAAACTCAAGAAGTCAAGTCAGGTGTAGTGGCAAGTGCCTTTGATCCCTGGACTTAGAAGGCACAAACAGGTAGAACTCTTGAGACTGAAGCTGGCCTGATCTATGTAGTTAAGTTCCAGGCCAATCAGGGCTTCATAGGTCTAAAACAAAATGAGTATACA